CTAAAAGAATACAAAGATGTCATCACAGAGAACATAGAACACACTAGTAGTTTAGATCACAAGATTATATTAACACAGGAACCCACATTCAAACACAAAATCTATCCAATCCCATATGCATTTAGGGAAGAAGTAAAGAAAGAACTAAATCATTTAATACAGACTAACAAGATTAAAAGATCAGATTCACCTATATCGTCACCCATGGTAGTAGTAAAAAAGAAAAATGGCCAGTGCCGTATATGTTGTGACTATAGGGAGTTAAATAAAATCACACAATTAGATGCAGAACCCATGAGGGACACCAGAGAACTACTTGAGGAAATAGGCTCCTCCACGTTAGTCACACACCTAGATTTAAACAGAGGATTCTGGCAAATAGGCATGCATCCAGATTCCATGCCTTATACTGCATTTGCCACAGAGGAAGGCTTATTCGAATGGACAGTAATGCCATTTGGTCTAGTCAATTCTACCGCAACATTTTCTCGATTCATTCGAATCATGCTAGCAGGCATACCAAATGGTGTACATTTTGTTGATGATATCTGTATTCACACTAAGGATATGAAGACGCATATAGAGACAATAAAAATAGTACTAAACAAATTAAGATCACATGGAGTCACAATAGCACCAAACAAATTAAAATTTGCACAAGAGGAAATAGAATTTTTAGGATTTAAAGTCGGTAAGAACAAAATTCAGCCCACAGAACACAACAGAGGAAAAATACTAAACATAAAAACACCACACACTCAAAAAGAAGTCAAAGCAATTTTGGGTTTGTGCAATTTTTATAGCACTTTTGTTCCAAAATTCTCTGATATTACTTTACCTTTAAGGAAACTAATAAACAAAGATAGCAAGAAACAAATAGTATGGACGGATGAATGTGAGAGTGCATTAAAAATAATCAAAGAAATTTTCCAAAGTGACAACATATTGTTATCACCCAATTTTAATCAGTCTTTCACTTTAGTGACAGACGCCTCCAACATTGGATTAGGAGCTTGCCTTATGCAAGAATTTAATCATAAACTAAGACCAATTACCTATTTAAGTAGAGCACTAAGCAGAACTGAAATTAACTACTCAACCATTGAGAAGGAATGCTTAGCAATTAAGTCGGCACTTACAAAATTACAGAAATATCTATTAGGTAGAAAATTTATCTTATTGACTGATCACAAGCCATTGATGGCACTAAATAGAAAGAAAATAGCAAACAGCAAAATAAACAGATGGTCGTTGATCCTATTAGATTATCAGTATGAGATAAGGACAATAAAAGGAAAAGACAACACAGTAGCTGTTTTCCTTTCCAGACATATTGAACATACAGACAATGACAAAGACACTGACTTAAGACACATTAGTCAGATATTCTAAATGAAGATACACACATACGTTCAATCAGTTTTTTGACAATACACTTGTACATATCAATTTTGTAAATGAATATCAGATTTTAACCAATTGTAAATTATCTAATGCAAAATTTAAGGTTGTTACATTCATTTTTCAGTGTTTATTAATCATTAAGATGTCAATGTCATTTCACATTATCATACATAAGAATTTTAAGAGGTTGTCATTAATGATTTTGTAAATTTTTGCCAAAATAAATTATTCACTATTATGTGTGAGATTAACAGTCATAGGCCCTGCATTTCATAATGATGAAACGTTAATGTTGTTACATTATCATTATTTTAACATATAATTTTTGCCAAAAATTTTGTTGCACAAAATTTTTTCAGATGGGTGGGGCATGTAACAGACAATGTTTTCACATGAAAACAGAGAGGTAGCATGAGTGAACAGTGAATTGTGTTGACCATGTTTTTCCACGAGAGAGTAGAGTGTATTTGTATTTTTTAGAAGCAAATGTGAGCTCCACGTTTTTGGAGAGTAAATTATGTTTTTGTCAAAGCGGTCGTTTCCATGCTTTGCAGGTAATAAAAGGGGCAGTTGAGTTGATTGAAGAGTAGAGTTAGAGCTGAGCGCAGAGTGAGAAGACAGTTGATCTGAGTTGTAGCAGTGTGAGGACGTGTCTTTCTGAATGGTGGAATACTATAATATATACATGTGAAATTATTACATTCATGCAAGGATTATAATTATTATCAGTTTCAAGTGTGATTCAATAAAGTACTGTAAGTTTAACCAGGATTCAGTATTCTTATTTGCGTGCCTGGATAATAAGAGGAAGAATGAAGAAGTCTTAGTCGGCATCCTGAAGTATTAACATAAGTAACCATACTACTACATAACCCACTAAGTTACAATGATGTCAGAGTATATGTGTTACAGTTATATGTAGCGCAGTTTTACAAATTAAATTATTTGCATTTACGGAAGCCCCGTGACACATTAACACGTTGATACAATCTACACGTACATTTAGTGCAGCTATTATGAGTGGTGTGCAATCTCTACTATTTCTGGCATTTGTATCAGCATTGCGCTGCACCGGCATACCCACGCTATACTGCCGCATGAAATCGCTAGCCAATGTACTGTGTTACCAATCTTGTCTCTGACATTGATGTCATCTCCCTCTTTAAGTAAAGTATCTACGACCTGGTCGTCTCCATATAAGGCAGCCTCCATCACCGTTGTCTCATGTGTTCATTCAGCCATGTTGACAGCTGCCCCACGTCTAATGAGAAAGACAATACAGTCATGATGACCCCGGCTGCAAGGCACTATCAAGAACTAACATTTGCTGCAAGACTGGTCGCATGTGTGCCCCCGCTAACACAAGAACTCGACATATTTGATATGTTAAATTTTTAAAATAAAATCAAATTCCTCTGCTTTGATTATAATCAAAGCATAGTTTAGAACTATTTTTTCAACCGGTGAACTTTATTATTACTGTTGTTCCAATTAGTAACCCCGAAAAAGAAGGATAAACTAATTGAAAAGTTAATCTAAGATTTAGTAGAAGACAATGTACGAATCATTTTAGTTTTAGTTTTAGTCGTAGATTTCCATTTTTATGGCTAGCTAACAATTGTAAGATAGAAAAATAGTTATTTAATCGAATAAAAAATGTGTACACTTCACTAACCACAACAACAAACTACGAGTGCTCAAAGAATCGGCCAATGAAATAGCTCCTTCACTGACAACCCTCCTTAAATCGTCGCAGTGCAAAGAGAATGTTACAGCAGACTGGAGACCAGCGCATGTAACTCCAATTGAAAAGAAAGGTGAGCAATTCAACTATGCCAACTATCATCCGATATCCCTCACCAGTGTGTTATGTAAATTGATTGTTGGAGCACATAATCATGAGGGAAATCATAAAGCATCTGGAAAGCCAACATATACTCAATGTCTGTTAGCATGGCCACCGCGCCAATAGATCGTGTGAGACCAAGCTCCTTGCATTTGTTGAAGACTCGATGACTAATGTGAAGAACAGCGAGCAAACTGAAGTGTTGGCGATGGACTTCTCAAATGCATTTGACCGTGTCAATCATAGTTTGCTTTTTACACAAACTTTAGAGATATGGGATCCAAGGCACTACTAAAACATGGATCTCTAGCTTCCTGATCAAGCGATGTCAAGCAGTAGTGGTGGACGGCACAAGCTCCACCTATGTCGGTGTTAAGTCAAAGTGTCCCCATTGCTTGGTGCTAGGGCCCTGTTTGTTCCTAGCATATATCAATTACCCACCCGAGAAACGTCTAGAAATGATCTTTAGGTGGCCAGATTTCTTTTGTATAACGTTCACCATTTTTTTTCAGTAAATAACGCTGTCCATTGAAATTGTCAGTTGTTTTTGACGACTTATCTGCTAAGATATCATTTGAGTTTTCTGTTATTTCATCCAATCAGTTTTGTCAATATTTATTTATGTGTCAGTTTTGTCAATATTTATGTATGTGTCAGTTTTGTGTCTTTACTACATTTCTATTTAATGCCATGCATGTTTTTTTTTTGTTGTTTAAATGAATTCTTTAATGTTTAAATAAAGTTATGTCTTTGAATTGTGGACATCGTTTTTCCCCCCTCAGAAATATTTCAACCACCGATGGGAGACACTGTTGATACAGTTTCTATTTAATATTCCTCGTGCAGCTAACATAGAGTTTTGGGGACTTAGAAAGCCTGGCAAATCATATTTTTTTCAGGTAATTTTTTTTTTGTTTCAATTTTATTCTTTTTTTTTTTATATTTCTCTTGTCTTTGCCTTTGTAGCGTTGAACTATCATAAATGCTCTCTCTGATTAGGTGACGTAACTTGAATAAAATTCACTAAGGTCAAGCCCCCATATTTCCGTCGAGCCTCACCCCCACTGACACGCAGCCATTCATCTTGTCATGTACGATGTTTATAAATATGCATCAAATGTTCATTTATTTTCATTAATGAAGGGAAACTTCTTAGCTTCAGCTCAAAGGTTTAAGCATGCAAATGAACACAAGCAATATGTGAGTGAATTTGAAAAATTTACAATTCAAAAAGGCACAAGTAAATCGAAATGTCTGACGGAATGTTGAAAATATTCAAAACGCTAGGTGATATACCCACTGCTCTACCCGTCATATACCCGGTGATATCCTCGGTGATATCCTCGGTGATAATCCCGGTGATATACTCGGCGATATACTCGGTGAAATACCCGGTGATATACCCTTTTTATACCCGTTATAAATCCGGTGATATTCTCGGTGATATACCAGGTGATAAACCAGGTGATCAAGAGACAGGCATGATACAATCATCATGTTGTACATCACGGCTGGAAAAATATGGCATATGTTTACTTTCATAGTTAAATTGTGAACAAAACAAAAAATCTATTTAAAAAATACTTGCTCTCAAACATCTTTTTAATTTTCTTTTTAATACAAATATTATTAACAAGTTTTCAGAGTATTCTAAACATGATAGTTATACGTAAAGTAAATCGGATTAAAAACAATTTTTATAACAATAAATAAGTAATATTATTTTTTTTAAATGTTTCATATATTAAATGGCAGAATTTAAATAATTTATTTTGTTCATCGAATTATTCATCAATTTGTTTTTCAAATTGTCCATCAAATTATTCATGAAATCGTTCATCAATCTCTTCATAAAACTGTTCATAGAAGTATTCATGATAAATTGTATAATGTTGTTAATCAAATTGTTTATTATAGTGTTAGTTTTCGTTCTAAAAAACCCATCTTAAGGTTAATAGTGTAGATGTTGATTTAGGGCCTGTCGAGAAAAAAATCACTTTAGTCTCAAACAAGATTGAATAACTCATGTAAACATTGACGCTCAGACAAAGCCCACTTAACTTTAAAAACAACAATCTAAAGATGTATCTAACTTTTAAAAATGAATCTTATTTACAAGAAAAATGTATTCAACAATGCCAAAGCTATGGTGATTCATCGTTTAAATTATAATAGGATACCGGGCAGCAGCTCATTTCAGAAAAAGTCACTTTAGATATTCTTAAGATATGGGCTCTTATAGAAATCAATCGGAGAAATATTCAAGTGAATGGTTCACATTGATCTCTTTAAAATCGGATTGAATTAGCTAACGATGTTTTAATTTAATATTTCGTTTTCCGGCTAATGGCGCAAAAAGTTCTTAGTCATTAATTTTTTGACAGCAGTGAGTATTTCAGGGCCCACCAATTGAGTACGAACACACTGACGGAGTGAGTGTCGATTTTTGAAATTTTTTGCGTACTCGCACTCATTGTGGGAAGGGTGAGGCTGGCAGAAAGTAAGTACATGTATTAAAAATTCTACAATAATCATTCTGAAATTTTGACAGTCCAAAAATAGCATACTTATATCTCGAAAGCCGTAAAAATATCTTACAATTTTTTGTAAGAATTATTTTCATAATGTCTCCTCGCGTTCTCACAAATGAACTCTCTAAGACATTTCGATCAAATAGTACTCAGAGGTAGCAGTATTGCAGGGGTATATCCTCCACCGTATGTTAAACGTGAGTTTGACCTACCCCCACTCATTTGGCAAATTGTTTCATTCCCGCGCCCATGTCAAATTAGTGTTTTCACCAGACACTCTTTGTTAAATTTTAACAAGTCACTGCAATTCTAAATATGTAATACACAAACAAAATAAATTAAAAGGTTGAGTGAAAATCTAGTAACCCAAAACAGTAGTCACTCACTCAAGTGCAAGCACCACGACCGCCAGATGTCACATTTGGATTAAAAGTCAAAATAAAATAAAGATAACTGTAAAAATTCTCGGCGATTTTTAAATGGAAGCAACCCAGGAAAACGCCACGCCGAGGTGATAGTGCGGCAACCGGGGTGAAGCTGGCAAAATGGTGCAAGTTCATAAAAAGACCGGTAAAAAAAGACGATTTTTGGCGCCCTTTTTTCTCTCTGATGTGTATGAGATTTTCTTTTTTTAACTCACCACAATTATCTTGTCTATAGACGATTTTGATAGAACAATAAATATCCTAATAAATTTGCTTGCTTACACAAAAAATAGGGGGGGGGGGAATCCAATCATAAAAAAACAAAAACATTTCAATTCTACAGTGAATATGACAATCGTATATATAAAAAAAGGGGTCCATAAAATATTTGTCAATTTTGTCAACACAATCGTCTCAAGTGTCAGCACAGTAGCAGAAGTTTTCAAATGGAGTCATGTAAAGTGTTCATGACCGGGCTCATCAATGCATTTACTTGACAACTGAGGGGTGTAGATGGGAGTAGTTGTTGATTTAGGAAATTTGGGGTAATGTGGGGGGGGGGGATTTTTGTTGGTAGAATGTTAACGTAGATTTATGCCCTAATTATTCAATAGCTAGTTCATGACCGGGCTCATCAATGCATTTACTTGACAACTGAGGGGTGTAGATGGGAGTAGTTGTTGATTTAGGAAATTTGGGGTAATGTGGGGGGGGGGGGATTTTTGTTGGTAGAATGTTAACGTAGATTTATGCCCTAATTATTCAATAGCTATCCTGGAATTCTGAAAGTTCACGAATAGCCTTATCTAGAGATCTGAGTGCAATGTGTGGGGAGGACTCCATGTTATATCGCATATATCTAAGTAGCAAATTGTCATCCAAAAAAAAAGTGTTAAGTCTGTTATCTCTCATATCTATTACGCATCATGTGTAACTGCTTCCATTTCTAAATGATTCACCCAAAAAATCGTGGCTGCTTCCTACTCAGCGTATTTGGTGCTGAGATTATTTTCGTAGCTTTTTGCTATATGCTTTGTATTTTGCCACGTACATTTGGGAAATGGCGTTTTTAATTGTGTTAAGTTTATGCAGGAACAGCAGTAATTAGCAAGTGTAGTTATTAAAGTGTGTTAGTAATGGAATTCTTTTTATTAATAAAAAGACGTTTGCTACATGAATAATTTGTTAGTAAAAATGTCTGACTATTTCAAAAGGCTTTAAAAATATCACCAGCATATCGTTTTTGGCTATCGTTTTACTTCCAATGAGTTTTGTTTTTTTGTTACTCGTTGAACAAATGAACTCAATGGGTATTGCATGAAGGATATATGCAAACGTATGTAAATCGAAACTTTAAAAAACAATTTTTAAAAAAAATAGTTTTTGAACCCTTTAGTTTTGAACGAAAATAAAAAATTCTCAGGTCCTCAAAAGGTCACAAACTTTCCGTATCTCTCGGAGAAACGTGTTTACACATTTGAATAGCGTTTACAATATTAACATATTGTTTTAAACAAAACAAACTGTATTTCAAAGTTTATACAATCACACCTTGTAAAACTATTTAATCAACACAGTGTATGTTTTGCAGCTAGCAAAAATCATTAAAGTCGATATGAAATATATTGTTTGAGCAGTGGTTCTCAACCTTCCTAATGCCATGACCCTTTAATACAGAGTCTTTTGTTGTGGTGACCCCTAACCACAAAATTATATTCGTCGCTACTTCATAACTGTAGAGTATATATCTTTCCCGGTGGTCTTAAGGGACTGCTGGATCAGAGGAAGAAAAAATGGCTTTACATAATAAACAACAGTAACTTGTGTGATGTTTCACTAACACCTAGTTAATCGCGCTAGTCCTTTCTGCTCTTGCATTCTGCACCCTGGTCTTTTCTCTAGGTCGATTTTTCTTTGAAAAGTACTATGGATCATAGGCAATAAAAAAAAGTTGAAGCTACCAGAAATGTTTCTATCACACTATGAACACAACCCCTTACCTCCCCTCCCCCCACACACCAACAACAAATAACTATATTAAATGTTTAAAAAGATATTATTATATTAATAAATCAAAAAGTTTAAAATAAAATATTTTAAAAAATTAATTAATTACATACTACAAAAAGTATAAACAAACACAGAAAGTCGTCACATGATATGGTAAAAATCTTGACTTTTTAGCAACTTGCACTTCGTGCACTTTTTGTAGTCTCATGCACAAAAACTGTAGTCTCATACTCACAAACTGTTGTCTCATACTCACAAACTGTTGTCTCATACTCACAAACTGCTGTCTCATACTCACAAACTGCTGTCTCATACTCACAAACTGTTGTCTCATACTCAAAAACTGTTGCCTCATACTCACAAACTGTTGTCTCATACTCGCAAACTGCTGTCTCATACTCACAAACTATTGTCTCATACTCACAAACTGTTGTCGCATACACACAAACTGTTGTCTGATACTAAAAAACTGTTGTCTCATACTCACAAACTATTGTCTCATACTCACAAACTGTTGTCGCATACACACAAACTGTTGTCTGATACTAAAAAACTGTTGTCTCATATATACTCACATACTGTTGTCTCATACACAAAAACTGTTGCATCATACTCACAAACTGTTGTCTCATACACACAAACTGTTGTCTCATACTCACAAACTGCTGTCTCATACTCACAAACTGTTGTCTCATACTCACAAACTGCTGCCTCATACTCACAAACTGTTGTCTCATACGAACAAACTGCTGTCTCATACTCAGAAACTGTTGTCTCATACACACAAACTGTTGTCTCATACACACAAACTGTTGTCTCATACTCACAAACTGTTGTCTCATACTCACAAACTGTTGTCTCATACACAAAAACTGCTGTCTCATACTAAAAAACTGCTGTCTCATACTCACAAACTGTTGTCTCATACACATAAACTGCTGTCTCATACTCAAAGACTGCTGTCTCATACTCAAAGACTGCTGTCTCATACTCACAAACTGTTGTCTCATGACATAAGCTTTGTCTTATAAACACAAACTGTACACAGGCTTCATTCTCATGCACACAAGCTGTAGTGTCATGCACACAAGCTGTAGCCTCATGCGCACAAGCTGTAGTGTCATGCGCACAAGTTTTAGTATAATGCACACAAGCTTTAGCCTAATGCACACAAGCTGTAGTATCATGCACACAAGCTGTAACCTCATGCATACAAGCTGTAGTATCATGCACACAAGTTGTAATATCATGCGCACAAGTTGTAGTTTCATGTACACCAGCTGTTGTCTCGTGCATACATCCACTAAGTACATTGAATAGGTGTATGCAGGAGAGTAGACATCAACTGACATTAAACTTTACTCACCCTCAAAATATTTCTTAGCTGCAATGCGAATATTCTCACACTTGACTTCGTCTCTGTCCGTGCTGTACACGCGCACAACAAACTCTGAGAAGTTTTGAGGGACACCAATCACACTGGCCTGAAATGATGATTCAACAAATGTTGACAAAATCTACCCAAAACCTCATTTTCAGGCATAATCATGATTATGCGGTCACCGATTGACCCTGTCACCGATTGAAGTTTTCACCGATTGAAGTTGTCACCGATTGAAGCTATCACCGATTGAAGCTGTCACCGATTGAAGCTGTCACCGATCGTCACCGATTGAAGCTGTCACCGATTGACGCTGTCACCGATTGAAGCTGTCACTGATTGACGCTGTCACTGATTGACGCTGTCACCGATTGAAGCTGTCAACGATTGAAGCTGTCACAATAAAGATTGAAGCTGTCACAATAATTTAAATCATAAAGTAAAGCAACTTTTTTGTTTGAAATTTCTCTAGGAAACATGTGTCGATAACTCGATGCTGAATAAAAGTTTTGAATGTATTTTTTTTTATTTTTATATTGCAGACATAACGCATTGATGATTTTTTATCAGTTATTAACATTGTAAATTTCAGACCACATAAAGGACCCAAACTGCAGGCATACCTCACTGGTAACAGAAACTGTGGCTCAACTGTTGAATGCTCGTCCAACACATCATGCCCGGGCGACATATAATGTATAGCTTAAAGACACCAAACAAACGGATCAGCTTTGAACGCATTGAATATGGTATCGTGACGCGATTACTTTATTAACTGAGCTCAGGGCACCACTAAACAATTAATACACACGAAGCAATTGGTCCGTGGTCAGTTCTTTTTATAGTAATAGCTTAGTTTAATTTTACTTGATTAATACAAGCTAAATGGTGAGGGAACATTTCTTTAGCGATTGTTCATCCTGTGGCAGTGTCTCCAGCTTTTTACCGATGGGATAATCTTTGAACTTCTAAGAATTGATTGATATGTGGCATTTTCTTTCAACGTGTTAATATGACCTGGCCGGTTTCGTTTCCACGCTCAAAACATTTGATTAGAGGATTTAGACGAAATCACCTACACATACACACATTGCCTGTAGAGCAGTAGATAGACTTACACACGTTGCCTGTAGAGCAGTAGATACACATACACACCTTGCCTGTAGAGCAGTAGATACACATTCACACCTTGCCTATAGAGCAGTAGATAGAGCAAACGCCATGTGTGTGAACTCATTACTCACATACATCTTACGTACCGTGACTACTTTCACAGTGTGTACAAATGGTGTACTCACATCTGACATTTTCAGGTGACCCCCATTGTAAGGATTGTGCTTGGCGTACACCTTGAGTCGCTCGACTGGGTTCTCCTCTTTCATTCCAAAATCCATTGTGACCAACTGACCAAAGTAAAAAAAAATGATATATTTTATTTTACAGAGCTCAAACTGCCTACATATTTCTATCTAATTCTGATCTTTTTCTAGCTATCAATTTTGAAGTATGTATAATGAATATGTAAAAAATAACTACAAATTAATATTTATTTATTTAGGCATTTTTATATAGCGCTTACCTTAAAGCTCTAAGCGCTTTACAATTATTAAAAACATGTAAACTAAGTAAAAGAAAAAAGAAAAACCAGAGACACTAGGATAGTAACTACTATACTATAGAAACAATTAAAATGGTTATAAAACGAGTACACTTTGGCACATGTTGGCCTATACTACAGGATCAACCCGAGACAGAAAATGAGGCAGGGCAAGTAGGGTGCATCACAGGTCATAGACGGACCTAAACGCATGGATTTTAAGGGACTTTTTGAAAGTGGACGAGGTTAACAGGCACTTAACAGGCACTTGTGGAAATGTTTTTTTTTTCCACACTAAAATATACATAAATCGTAAGGGCTAAAACTACAAATCTTGCCAAAGAGCCAGTTAGATTCGAGTGAGTGAGTCACGCAAAGATCATTGCAATGTTTACATAGTAAATGCCAAGTTAAGTAATAATAATTTAGTTTTAAAAAAATAACAACGAAGCCCATCGTTGACATTGCAACTGGTAGATGCAGCCCCCCAAAAAACCCCACATGTAGACACATCAATTCCATTACTACAAATACATTCTTCAAAAACAAAATAGTTATTGGAGAAAGCATACAAACATATCTTACAAGATTTAGCGGATGCTTCACTGACCTTAAACAAAAAAATGTTCGAAAGCTTTAATGAATGGTTCACTGACCTTAACAATTATTTCCGATTTGTCAGTGTGAATGCTCTGATCGAGGTTTTTCTGGATTGCTTCTTGAATATCGGATTCTTTGAGATTTTTCCTCTGCCCAAAAAAATGAGTACGATAATGAATTTAATGGGATTGTCTGATAAATAAAAACTATGAATCTTTTATTAATGGTTAAATTACCGTAATTATGTTATTTTTAATTATATTAAGATACGTTGCCGTATATTTAATTAAGCAAAAGTCATTTTACAATGAAAAGCAAAATAGTTTAATCATGTGCCTGTCACAATTGGATTCTATTGGTCATATTAAGGTGACTGACAAGAAACCCTTGCTCTACAGTTATAACTATCAGGCTATGAGATACAAATCATTTAAAACAAAGTTGTTTTTTGTGTGCGTGTGTGTGTGTGGGGAGGGGGGGTTGGTAACGCACGTGTTTAGGGTCCTTGGGTAGGCTCTCGTGCACACAGGTGTATGGCTTCCGTTTGAAGATGCGCCTGACAATGTCTTGGGCATCCACTAGGTCCTTAGCTGGGTTGTTTGCATCTACGGGTGTGTCCAGAATTTTGAACAAAACGTTATCTGTGAGCAGGGTGTAGGCAGTCATGTCCTCGTAGCACTCGGCCAAGCTGCACATTCTGTAATTTTTACACATTTCATGAAATGTAATCATTTGGATTTTAATTTTCATACCGGTGAGATGTAATCATTTGGATTTTAATTTTCATACCGGTGAGATGTAATCATTTGGATTTTAATTTTCATACCGGTGAGATGTAATCATTTGGATTTTAATTTCCATACCGGTGAGATATAATCATTGGATTTTAATTTTCATACCGGTGAGATGTAATCATTTGGATTTTAATTTTCATACCGGTGAGATGTAATCATTTGGATTTTATTTTTCATACCGTCGAGATGTAATCATTTGGATTTTAATTTTCATACCGGTGAGATGTAATCATTGGATTTTAATTTTCATACCGGTGAGATGTAATCATTTGGATTTGTATTTTCATACCGGTGAGATGTAATCATTTGGTTTTTAATTTTCATACTGGTGAGATGTAATCATTTGGATTTTAATTTTCATACCGGTGAGATTTAATCATTTGGATTTTAATTTCCACACCGGTGAGATGAAATGATTTGGATTTTAATTTTCATACCGGTGAGATGTAATCATTTGGATTTTAATTTTCATACCTGTGAGATGTAATTATTTGGATTTTAATTTTCATACCGGTGAGATGTAATCATTTGGATTTTAATTTTCATACTGGTGAGATGTACTCATTTGGATTTTAATTTTCATACCGGTGAGATGTAATCATTGGATTTTAATTTTCATACTGGTATGATGTAATCATTTGGATTTTAATTTTCATACCGGTGAGATGTAATCATTTGGATTTTAATTTTCATATCGGTGAGATGTAATCAGTTGGCATTTTAATTTCATACCGGTGTTTTGTAGCGTTGTAAAACAGCCAGGCAAAATAACCGAACAGAGGAAGGCGAAAAGAAAAAAAAAATATTTTAAATTTTAAAAGTAATCAAACATATTTACTTAGAAGTAGGTTCGAAAAAAAAGGCAATGATAATTCATCTTAAGTTGTCTAGTTGAAACTACTTAGATCTCATACAATTCATTGCTGCAATAGAATATGGTTGGAGAGTGTCATGGGGAAACTCAAGGAGACTAAAAAAAAAAAGTCAATAATCATAAATGCCTTAAACTTTAAAGTTTATTATAAAAGGAAACATGCATAGGTCTTCAGAACCGGACTTCCGTCCCAAGGGAGTTAAGGAGTGAAAAATTTGTAACAGCGGTTGAACAATATTAAATCCCTTTGCTATTCGGCATCCACATTAATTTTATACACAATGGCTAAAGAAATGGAGAAGCGACCTGTAGTTGCTACCCTGTGTTTTTTTAGGTTTCTCGGACCTCTGACTGGTCTTAGTAGATATGACGCACGTCTTCCCGTATTTTACACACATCACGTGGTTGTTTTACCCCAGCTGGTGTAATAATAATAATTGAAAGCGGCATAAGACACTGAATTAAAGGAATGTCAAAATGACGAAAGAAAATATTCACTGATAACATTCATGAAGTTGGGCGCACAGGTTGCAATGTTATCACACAGTCACTTACTTATTGTCTTTCCCTTGATACTTGACGTGCTCATTGGCCTTGACAAGGGCTTGTACGACCCTAGGAAATGTTCAACAAATTCAGGCTTTAATTTCTTTGACTTGAATCCTACAGAAGTATTTTCATGTGATTCATGCAAACATTTGAATTTATCAAATAAGCCAGTGTGCAGAAATCGGATATTTTTTTTTAAATTTCCGTTTCGTTAAGTTCGCATTAGCTCTATAGGTTGGTGGCCCAGTCCTTTTAGCTATTCCGAGAATTTATAATTTAAAAGTTATTGCAACGGTTCCAAAAGTAAAATTTATATTTAAATGTGTATGTGCGTGGGGGGGGGGGACTAACACACAAACTAATAAACGTTACCATTATAATGACATAAATGAGAATATAATCAGATAAGAAACTATTTGTGCTATATGTTTATCATTAGCATATATATATTGTTTGTATGACTATTTAAAAGCTGTCCACTGTGGTATAAAGGTTTTGCCATGTCACACATTTTATCTCTTTCAACAGCACTAACATATTTTTTCCCTGGTGAGCCTCAAATAACTTGTGTAGTTTACTTTAAATGTGTGAACTTCAAATGTGTCCAAATTTGTAATAAAATAACGAGGCCAACATTACCTTTACCAGGTTACAGCTGGTCTATTCTATCTTTCTCTTTATATTATGGTGTTTAGAATTTAAATTAAAGTATTGCTCACATAGTGGCTCGATTCAACTTGTATAAAACAGTATACGCAGACCGTTCACAGTAGCGCTTTCTTTCTTTCTTTCCCTCTTTTAAATGGAGGTGTTATTACCAGTGCGTAAAACGTGACATGATTAGAGAAGTGTTCACTTTGATGTTAAACAATTTCTTGTAACCTCCCGCCAACTGAATGTTTAGTTCCAAAAGAAAATGAAAATATTTTAAAATAAGATTAAGCTATATTTTCTGGTTCCGTGCCTAAACGTATTGTTAGCAGTTAATGTTTTTTTTTATTGCGTACTTACATAATCTCCATCCCAGACGATACTTTGTGCTTGTAAGCCCTTTTGTCCAGGGTGTAATGTGTGTAGAACATGTTATACATGTTACCTATCTCCTGTGAAGACAGCAAATACAATGAAACATCGCTATGGCGAAACGAACGCGTTCAGCACATCGGACAGCAGCAATTTGGGGGGTGGGGGGTGTTTGGGGGATAGGGGGAGGTCGTGTTAGTGTAGGTCTTTACCACAATTTTTATGGGCCTTTCTACCACCCCCCCCCCCCCCCCCCCCCCCCCCCCCCCCTAAAGGTTCCACTTTAATCGTAAAGCCGGACAATCACTAATATACTTTACATTATATTTAAGCTAAAATTTCAAGTACTAATCTTTCTTACTTTTCTGTCCTCTAAACAATTGTTCAGCTCTTAATTATATTTAAAAAAAATATAATTAAGAGCTGAACAATTGTTTAGAGGACATCTCAAGCTCGAAAGGGCCGCAATTTTAGTTCTTGATGTGGGCGCCCTACAACCCTACAATAATATTTTAAAGATTGTGTTTTAATAAACCAAACCTCTCACTTCTCATACCGGGTCCGAATAGCCGCATCCTATCAAGAATTGTATTAACATAAAGGAAGACAAATTGAAATGTAACTTGTCTCCTATAAAAATGTGCCTCTCTCCATCCACCTCTTTAAGACAAATGTAAACGCACCTTATCTCTCATACAAATCTGCATCTCTCCATCCACCTCGATAACTCTGGCGAACTTCATGTAACGCTCGTGGTCAAAATTGTTTTTGATTCCAAAATGGTGACAGTCCCTGGCCATATAATCCCATTTGTAGACATCAATCCCATTACGTTTGTTGTTGACAATCTGAGTTGCCAGGTGGGAAAATGTTTTCGAAAAATGATGTTAGTTGAAGAAATATGCACATGATAAAGATATATTGTGTTAAATTTATAATTAATATATGAAATAAAATATTCAAAAACATTATATGATACTGTGAAGCATAGTCTCCTTTAACATTTTAAAGACGATTATTGTCTTTTAAATAGTAGATCACTGGTATTTTGTGTTTTAAAAGTTACATGAAAACTGTTGCTCTTTGATAAAGGACGCAACGAGGTATAACGATTGAAAGAGTTTTCACCATAGCTTCATTTTAAAATAAATACCTCATACAGATAAGACTTATGAGCCGGTCTCCCTCGATAGGGCCAAGCCTGGAAGAGTTTGAGATGACATTAACAGACCCATCTGAAATGTTTTTACTAAATGCCCCCTCCCCCACCATTCCTCTTTAAAGACACGAGATTGTTACAATAAAATAAAATCGATATGTTTTTCTGTACTTTAAAAAAAAGTAAAAAATTATGCAAGTGGATCACTGTTGTCTAGAATTAAAACTTTTGTAATTGCGAAGACATAATCTTTACATAGTTTACATTTTTTTAATAATTGTAAAGCGCTTAGAGCTTTAAGGTAAGCACTATATAAAAATGCCAAAGAAATAAATACAATCTTTAACTATGTTTACATTGTAACCGAGTCTATATTGCAACCGTTCTTCTCATACATTGCACCGTCTGTGACATCAATGCCACATTCTTCATAGCCGAATGGATTGCTCCCCTCTTTCGCCACTCCAGGCCATACAACTCTCACCGCCCTCCAGAATTGTATGCAAATGACTCTTTTTGCACAAATCGCTTTTATTAAAGTACTCACAGAATATAATAGAGCCTAAAATGGCAGCGCCTTCAGTACAATAAAATAATCTTAACAGTTCATTGGGTAGTTCAAGTAATTTACGTGTCCTTGAATAATAGACGAATGGAAGCTCCTTCATAAAATTGCATACAGATATAGATCTCTCTCTCTTTTTATCTCTCTACTAGCGAGTACCCGGCATGCGTTGCAATGCCACTCAAGGAAAGAAAGTGTTTGCATGTTATGTTTCTTCAAAAGCTTTTAAATACTCAAAGTTTTTCTTGTTTTTCCATCTGATATATACACGAATAAATCAGAAGATTTTCCGACGCGACAGCAGGCCACATACATCTGTCCATGGCCGAAGCACGGGTTTTCCAAATTAAGTCCGCAAACTTGTAGCGATTGTCCCTGTGCTTTGAAGATAGTCATTGTAGACGCGTGTCGCATCGGAAACTGTAGGCGTTTGAATTCAAATGGCATATCTGTTGGAATCATTGGGGTGAATGGCAAAAGTACATCACCTAGTTTAAATTTTCCATTTAAAATAGTAACTTCAATGGAACCAATTTCGGAAGATTCATTTGAAAAAATGTACCGTACCTAATGCTTCGATATCAAAGTGCGTTTCTCGTTGCAAATCAAGAGCGAAAAGTTTGTTTGCAGATCGATTCCGAGAGGTCATTCCCAACTCATGAATCATCAATCGATATGAATAGTATTTCATGGCACTGTCTTTCTTATTCGAATTTCTCAATTTGATGTCAAAATGATATCCATCTTCTCCTTGCCAAAATAAAATAGGATATTGCAATCAAACGTATGAGCGATGAGTTTCTGAGACTCGCTGAACATCAACACTTCTGTGATGAAGAATTATATCACTTGAGTTTAATTCTTTGCCAACTATAATGATCGCCACTTCATCAATTGTTGGTGCATTGTATTGTCTTTCATGTTGGCCGACAGGTGTTTAGTCTGCTCTAACTATGACTTTGTATTCATCAGTCGGCATCTTTTCAAGTGCAACTCTATACATTTGAATTAATTCGTTGTGTTGCAAAATAACGTTTGCATTGCAGTGACGATTTCTAGTTTAGTGCCCGTATTGATATGACAACGTTGATCGATTTGCTCATCAGTATTCCCCATGAAATCATTTGAAGACATTTGTGATCTGTGTTTGGCAGGGGCATCAGAGATCCTACACGATGGTAAATTTGGCCTTTCACTTTACTTTAAATGTTGGCATGTAATTCTCGCGCACGATATTTGTTGCACCGAACGATGTCATTTGGCAACATGAATTGCATTTGCGTATGTTTTCCAAGAAATGTTTCGATTGGCTATTGTCTCCTGATACCAACAATGATAATGGTTTTGATGGTGAATGTAATTCTTACACGTTCGGATCTCCCATCTTTTTACATGAAAACCTCACACAATATGCACGTTCATTGTTGGCAGGAGATTTCCAGTTGTATAGTTTCTCATTAATTTATAAATCGTAAATTCCAGCGGTAAAAAATGACCATAGTTCAATATCTACGCTGTCAAATGTGTTATTTAATTACTTGAGAAACCATCGATTGGTGTAAAATGTATTTACATAACACAAAACAACTCCGAAATTATAAGACTCTATTCAAGAAATACTCTTAGTTGAAAAAAAAACACGTGATTTCGATGTCATTTCCGATTCTAAAATGCGTCACAAAATTCAAGCTTATTTATACACATAACAAAAATACTCTCTACACTAAAAATGTAAAAACGTGTTTTCTCTGCTTTACTACAAATGTGTCATTTGTTCAAGGGTGGTAGTGTTGATATCTCCGTTATAAATTTAATTGATGAAGCTCATTTAAGAAAATAAATTGAATTTAGGGTCCCCAGCCCTAATTGGAATATTGTACAATGGATGTACTAAATTTGAAAAATTTGCCGGCGAATTCAGCTACTTCCACACATGCAATAGCTCTGTTTGAAATTATAGTTACAAAGCTCTTAGAAGAAAATATAAAATTAGGGTCACTGGCCCAAACGGAATATTGTAAAATGTTTTTTTTTCTAATTTAGAAACATTTTCGGTAGTACGCATTTCACTTGGCCCAGTTTGATCACAATCGAATGAATGGTATAGAAATGCATACTATAATTATATAGATAATAGAACTGCGGTAAACGAATTTAGGACCCCCCTCCACAAATAGAATATTGTAGAATTGTTGTATTACTTCAGAAACCTACTTAATATGTAACACACTACATTTAATATCACTATTTGTATTTGATTAAAAAGTTATCCATTCATGCTTTAGCTCTGTTTGAAATTATAGTTGTATAGCTTAAAATTATAGTTGTATAGCTTATATAGAAAAAAACGAACATAGGACCCCTGGCTAAAAACGGAGTATTTTAAAATGGTTGTAATCATTTAAGAAACCTTTGCGGGCGGGCGCGCGCACAACATCTCTCTAAAATTTTATCGCATTGTAATAATGTACCTAATGTAAGGAAAAAAACACGAATTTTGGGCGATTGCCAAAAAAACGGAATATTTTAGTAGAGTTATAATGGCTTAGAAAAATGCTCTGGCTCTTGGACAACAACTCACCTCAGTTTTATCGCAAGCGCTTGAATGATGTAGGAGCGCATGCGGTTTGAAATTATATTTATATAGCTCATTTTGTAAGAAACAAACATAGGGCACCTGGCTCAAAACTGAATATTTTAAAACGGTTGTAGTAATTTAAGAATTTTTGTGGGCGATAGAACAACATCTCACTAAATTTTTATCGCATTCTGAAAAATGGTATAGGAGCGCATAGAAAATTATTTTTTACAAAGCGCATATAAGAAAAAATAAGAATTTGAGTCAATGAACGGTTATGTTTATAGATAACAACTCGTCAAAGTTTTGTCGCAATCGCGTGAATGGTCATGGAGCGCATACGGTTTGAAATTATATTTAAATAGCTCGTATAAGAAAAAAACGTAAATAAGGCCGCAGGCTAAAATTGGAATATTTTGAAATGTTTATAATAACTTAAAAACCTATGGCTAAAATTGGAATATTTTGAAAAGTTTATTATAACTTAAAAACCTTTGCGGCCGCGCTTCCAACATGTCACCAAAGTTTTAAGTTTTATTGCAATCGAATAAATGGCGTAGGAGCGCATATGAAAATTATTTTTTACAAAGCTCATATAAGAAAAAATACGAATTAAGGGCCAACGGCCGAAAACATAATGTTTTTAAAAGTGTTTAAAAACACAGTAAAATGATCTGCCGCATGGACAACAACTTACTAAGTTTTGTAGCAATCGCATGATTGGTGTAGGAGCGCATACGGTTTGAAAATATATTTATATAGCTCATATTAGGAAAAACGAATATGAGGCCCCTGGCTCAAAAATGAATAATTTAAAACGGTTGTAATAATTTAGAAACCTTTATGGACATACTTGCAACATCTCACCAAAGTTTTATCGGAATCAGAAAAATGGCGTAGGAGCGCATATGAAAATTTTTTTTTTACAAAGCTCATTTAAGGAAAATACGAATTAAGGGCCAACGGCCGAAAACGGAATATTTTTAAAAGTGTTTAAATAATACAGTAAAATGCATTTGCGCATGGATAACAACTCACTAAGTTTTGTAGCAATCGCATGATTGGTGTAGGAGCGCATACGGTTTGAAAATATAATATTTATATAGCTCATATTAGGAAAAACAAATATGAAGCCTCTGGCTCAAAACAGAATATTTTAAAACAATTGTAATATTTTAAAAATGTTTATGAACATGCTCAAAACATTTTATCAAAGTTTTATATGAATTGGATAAATGGTGTAGGAGCGCATGTGGAAAATAATTTTACAAAGCTCATATAAGAAAAAAAAAAGAATTAAGGGCCAACGGCTAGGAACAAAACAATTGATAAGGTTTTTGATAACTCAGTTAAATTGCCGGTTATGTGGAAAACAACTGTTTAAAGTTTTGTTGCAATCGAAAGAATGGTGTAGGAGCGCATATGAGACATACAGACAGACATACATACAAACATTCATTTTTATATATATAGATTTCCGAAAAAACACATGCTCGCGCCATCTTAAAAAATTCTTGTACTCTCGTCCGAAACCTCGAATTTCTCGAGCTTAATATGTGGTCTAATCACCGAGACGTTAGAGAGTCCTACCGTCGATCCTGTAGGAGCAGTGGCACTGATCTGCTCTTTGACAAACAGCAAGTCCACATCAGAAATGCCGTAGTCCTGCAAACATGTTCTGACGTCTTCATTCTCTTCCAGCAGGTGTTCGAACATTTTAGCAGAAGGTTTGTGGTACTGGAAGTAGACGGAAAGTTACAGTTACTAGAAGTAGACGGAAAGTTGCAGGTACTGGAAGTAAACGGAGAGTTACAAGTACAGGAAGTTGACTGAAAGTTACAGGTACTGGAAGTAGACCGAACGTTACAGGTACTGGAAGTAGACCGAAAGTAACAGGTACTAGAAATAGAAGGAAAGTTACAGGTACTGGAAGTAAACGGAGAGTTAGAAGTACTGGAAGTAGACGGAGAGTTAGAAGTACTGGAAGTAGACGGAAAGTTACAGATACGGGAAGTAGACGGAAAGTTATAGGTACTGGATGTAGACAGAAAGTTACAGGTACTCGAAGTAGAAGCAACGTTACAGGTACTGGAAGTAGAAGGAAAGTTACAGGTACTGGAAGTAGACGGGGAGTTACAGGTACTGGAAGTAGACGGAAAGTGACAGGCATAGAAGCTGAAACAACTGACTTGTAAATGTTCCCGACTTGTAAAAAGAAACATGGTTGCACACAGTTAAGTCTGAGTAAGCCTGGTATGGTGTATTACATGAGAACATTTTCAAGACGAAACATGAAAGTTGCCATATTCGACTTCAGCAGACGGGAGTGTGTCACGCATGGCAAATCCCCTGATTTTACCATAATTAACTAAATGGTCAGGTAACTTAGCAGTCCTGACACTGTTCACTATTACAGTTTAGTATTGTACAATTTTGAGATGGTTAAGTCCTAATCTGAGATTACATAGTACTATATTGGGAGCTCCAAGTCTGCTCTTGCACCATCATGCTAAGGTTAAGTCAAAGTTCTTTCTACTTTTGTTTGACCTGGTTTAAATTTAAAACTACACGATAAATAATCATCCCGGATAAACGAAAAATGTAAATGTCGACCAATTAGAAAGCGTGCTTTAAAAAGAACAGTATGGTTTGGCGGAACTTAATTTCCTTTAAGACTTATATCTGGACATTTAAGGGAACCAAACCAATAAAACGTGCATAAATGCACAGGCTAAGCTTTCTCTCTATACAAAGTATGTCTAGGTAGCGTTGTATTTATATTGCATGAATTCCACCCCAACCCCCCTTCCCCCCGCACCCGTCAAATTTTGTACTTCACATATTACTTTGAAATAAAATTATAACACATTTTAATTACTTTTTAATTCAAATGGTGCAGGCATACGTATTCATTGGATGCTTATCTATTCAAACTCACGATGACCTCATTTTGAAAATAAAAATATTAAACATTTAAATACCTTCGCCATCATTTTTCAAATGCACGAAGGACTTATGTGTGAACGAAATTCAAAATTTAAAATTCGTTCGGCTTTGTTTTCGGCCAAAAGTCTCGTCAAGCTTTTTTTGTTTAGGCTTCGGTTTCAGCCGAAACTATCTTTAAGCTTTTAGTTTCAGCTTCGGCTTCATACGAATGTCATTTTTAACTTTCGGTTTAGTTTCGGTTTATGTTTAAATCAGAAAATCGCTTTCGATTGGTCATTAGTTGACAACGACTCTGGCTAAACGTCTGATAAAAGTTACATTATTTTGAAGAAAAATATGTTTTTAAAGACTAAAAAATGATATTAAAGACTTAAACATATTAAAGACTAAACTATATTAATGACTAAAATCTGATATTAAAGTCTGAAATATAATAGACAAAAAATGATTACAACTACTAAAATACTAAACTAAAAGCTTAAATACGATATTAAAGATTAAAATTTGTGAGACTAGAATATGATTTTAAATACTAAAATGTAATATTAAAGAATAAAAATATAATGTTAAAGTCTAAAATACCAAATTAAATACTAATATTTTATAGTAAAGACTAAGATAGGTATTAAAGACTGAGATATGACATCTGTTAAAGATTATATTTATCTATACTGTTATGTCCAAAATATTGAGCAATCTATTTGGACGAGACTTTATTTTGTTACCTTCTTGCTGGCATCAACAGCTGGCAAAAAGTGTTTCATATAAATACGGGAAAATGGCCCACGCCCTGTAGATAAAAAAAAACAAAACAACCCAGTCAATCACGTGGTACTTTGTTCTTAAGGAAAAAAAAAATGAATTTTTTAAAAAGTTATCTTTAGCTCTGGGATTTTAATAGACCTTGACCTTATAGGGCAATAATAAAAAAAAAAGTCATTGTAATTACTCGATCAAGACAAATTCTTTCGGTTAAACTTAGGACCGAAATTTATCACGATTCATTTGTTTACCGGTCTGCACGACTTTACCAGCTTGCTCCCCCAACCAATTCTAAAGGATCACTGATTAGAGTCATTGTTTCCACCAAGGAGTTCATTGATGGCTGATTTCTAAACTAGAGATATTCTTAAGATGTCTTCTGTTTAAATCGTCTCTAATTGTAAAATATTTTTAAAAACATGTATTTATTAACGTTTTGAAAATGAATATGTACAAGGTAATCAAAAGAACGTTTCAATTTATTTTGGCCAATAAAGAATCTTATCATATCTTATCTCATAACTTTGTTAACGTCATTACATCTATTTTTTAATTAATTGTTTACTTTAATGGATAAATATTACTCAGGAATGATTTAAAAAAAAAAAAACAATTACTTGACATTAAAGTTTTCCTCTAAGAAAAAGGTCATATTGTTTTGATCAGAATGTTACAAGAAATTAAACAGTCTAGCCTCTCGGTTGTCATGTACTATGTCACATAATATGTCACACTTTTTTTTTTACATAAAGTTATCTCATTTAAGTCTTGATAAAATTTATGTGATCAAGATGGAAGATGCTTTATAGCGTAAACAACCAGCTGAAAGTCTAACCCAGGTCCTGGCAGAGCCCTGCAATCTCCACACACAAGATGTCTGTGTCAGTAATTCCCAGGTAAGGATGGCTCTGCTGAAGTGTTCTAGCGAACTGACCAGCCAGGTGACACACTCTGGGAAACATATAATTAAAAAAAAAAATAAGTGGAAACTTTACAGAAAACTAATTTTCAAAAGAAGTATTTGTGCTAATGACAGTTTCCAATACCTCATTATTCATATTGAACGTGAGACCCATCTACAATGTTTAAACATTTAAAACCTAATTACAAGAACACGTACAAGAATAATAAAATTGCCATTTAGAAATAACATGTAAGTTTTCGTTCTTCCAGTTTCCTTTTTTAATTTATACATTTTTAATATTTTTACTTTACTTCAAAATTTGAAGTTCTAAATATTTGAATTTGGTTTATTGTAAAGTCTAGTTCACCCAAGAGAGTGTTCGAATCTGTTGTGTGCCGCCCCTGGAAACACGAAGTAGACCATTCCTATTTGCTTGATGAATCGAAGCCTCTGGAACTGGGGCGTGTCCACTATCTTCTGACAGACTGGGTGGAGTTGCATATTGCCATGTATGGGGTCATTGAAGATCTAAAACAATCAGCAACAAATAAAAAAAAATAAAAAAAAACATTTTTTTTAAACAAAAAAATATAAATAAATCAGAAAACATTTTTTGCAATTAGAAATAAAATTGCGCACAATTTTTAACGGAGCAACCAATATTTTTAAAGTCGTTTATCATGCCGTGCACGTGTTTTGTTTTTAAAATATTTTCTTCAACAACCGTAAGTTTTTTTTTTTGTTTTTTTTTTAAATTCCTTTATAATGGGGCAGGTGAACTTTTAAATCCCTTTAGGGATAGTGGTTTAAAAATTTTTCTTTTACCTGAGTAAGGCTGTCATATACATTGAATAGTTTTACTATTTTTAAAAAATAAAAAAAAAAAAAAGAGAAATATAATGTAAGAATGGGCTTTACACTGAGTTGTCATCTTTCTTTGCGTAGTTTGAATTTTTTGAATTGTGTGAGGATGTGTCGTGAGAATAAAGTGGGGGGGTGGGAGGGAGGGGGAGAGGCTGTGGAATGATAGTTATACGTTGAGCAAATACTAAAGAGAAACTATGTTATCGAATCATTATAAGTTTCAAAATGTCCCGACTTCCGTTTAACGTGGCAAAAGTATTGAACGCGTTGGGCAAATAAATAGTATAAATAACATATTGCTCAACCTTACGTGTATACTTAATAAATCCAAAAATTGACAGGGCTAAAAGGCTCTCTATTACCTTAAAGACCATCGGCCTTTTACGCTTCTTAGTTTGTTTGCCGTCTTCCTCAATTTTTGGTGCTTTATTTTTTCCATTCTTTGCCGGTATTTCAAGTTCTCCACTCTCAAGCTGATCCAGAATCTTAAACAGCTGGTAACATTCACTGTTAGACCTTGGTTTCGATGAAAAATACAATAATATTCAGACATGTTGCATACTACAATGTTGGACGATACGCCTTAAATATTTGCTTGCACATTTATAATAGTGATAAATCACAGAAAGACCGTACATCACATTAGCGCTTCAGCCCCTGTAGGACTTTGGCCTGGCTCACCACACCCTTTCACTCAGAACTAACTGATGATTTTTTTTTCCATGGTTGGATTCCCCTTTGCTGCAGATCTCTTTCCACATCATCCATCCCTCGTGTCCTAGTTCTGCCTTTGAGCCTTTTTCCTCTGGGGTTTTGGTGGTGCACTTTCTTCATTCCTCTGTCAGTTGTCCCACCCAGTGTAGAACTGCCCTTTTTTTTATTTCTGCTACTAGCATGCAATCCTGATCTAGACTATACAGTTGTTGTTTGGTTTGTATTCTCCACCCATATTCACCCTTTTTTTTTTTGGTACCTTTATTCCCGGATAACTTTCCTCTCCCATGTGTTTAATAGGTTTTCTGCCAGTTTTTGTTAGGATCCAGGTTTCACTTGCGTATACTACAACTGGTCTGACTACAGTTTTATACATAGTTTTCTATGTGTCTATGTTACAACTCATCTAGCTACAGTTTCATATATAGTTTTGTAAATGTCTATGTTGATACTTTGAATGAAACCAAAAGATGTTTTCTTAAGAGAAAAATTAATGGACATCTCAGTAAGTTATTTGCTTCACAATGATGAGAATTCTATAATCAAAGTTGGATTCAATTTTCTTTGCCCCCTACTCAATACTAATATTAAGCCGCATTTATGTATTGTTTGGAACGCAAATACTGTTCCCTTTTGACTTTCACTTTAAAAAAACAAGCATTTCCTAATTTCAGTCACAATGCAAAATACTTGTTCTGACTTTTTATGAATTGATAACTTTAGTTGGCACATAACAAATAAAAAATACATTGTTTCAATGACACAAAGTTGTTTCCAAAATTATTGTTTCAACAAAGTGAGAAATGGAAATTTGCCTAGAAATCAAATCTTTGATATTTATGTTTCAAAGGCATGGATAAAATGGACCGTGTTGTACTTGATGGGATTATGATGTTTTGATGTGTTTGCACTTGATGGGAATAGGATAGTTGATGTTTTTGTACTTGATGGGATTAGGATAGTTGATGTTTTTGTACTTGATGGGGTTAGGATAGTTGATGTTTTTGTACTTGATGGGATTAGGATAGTTGATGTTTTTGTACTTGATGGGATTAGGATAGTTGATGTTTTTGTACTTGATGGGATTTGGATAGTTGATGTTTTTGTACTTGATGGGATTAGGATAGTTGATGTTTTTGTACTTGATGGGATTAGGATAGTTGATGTTTTTGTACTTGATGGGATTAGGATAGTTGATGTTTTTGTACTCGATGGGATTAGGATGTTTTGATGTGTTTGCACTTGATGGGATTAGGATAGTTGATATTTTATATCCACTGGGAATGGATATGAAGGTAATAATTAAGATTTAAATTTGCCGCAAATAAAGTTTGGTTTTAAAATTTAAGGTGTTGCGTAAGGATAGGATGAACATCTGGTCAGAATGTACACTTATTCATGGACGCACGTGTGGTCATTGATTGGCATGTAATCATAGATTACAAGTGGTCATGGATGTGCACTTGTTCATGAGCGTACGCTTGATAATGGGTGTTCACTTGTCATGAGTGTACAATTGGTCACGGATGTATGATTCCGCAAGGAATCATAGCAGTAGTTGTTGGCCGTAACTACATTACGATAAAACTGACCTCTTTAGTCTGTACCTAAAGTTTCGTTCTATCCTAGGCGGCTTGGACACGCCAGTCCACCACTGGTCAAATCCAGTCATGTGGTGTTAGCTTCGGTTGTTGATGGAATATAATGGAGAACTTAACACTAGACGCATTATAATACCACAGTGAACCATATTTTGCATATGTATATTATAACGGGGCATAGAGGAGCATTTTGAATACACTTTTGACCACGTCACTCTACTTAAACATAACATATTTATCACTCAGTACGCAACACTCTAATTTAACACATCCTATTTATCACTCAGTAGGAAACTTTCTAATTTAACACATCTTATTTATCACCCAGAAGGCAACTCTCTAATTTAACACATCACATGTATCACTTAGTACATCACGCTCATTTTTCATAAGACATTTTTCACTTAGTCGGCACAACTCCAAATTAATATAAGACATTTATCATTCAGTAGGCAACAAAAATAATATTGCCAATAAGACAAACATATAATAAAAAAAACAACAACATTGAAACAAACCGCTGCTTAAATCATGCTTGACATTTCTTCTAGAAATCTAAAATATTAAAGTCATGTTGACGAATAAATAATCTACTCTTAGATAAAAATTTAAAAAAGGTATGTCTACCCATGACCTCATTGGGAAGATACCAAACATGTTTTCCACAAAAAAAAATAAGGATTTTAACGAAACGATGTACGGGGAAACCCGATAAAGAGCGCCACACAAAAGGAAACGACCGTGTGGGCAAGAAGCCTTCTTTAGCGAGCAAACAACAGTCAAAAGCATACAAAAATAAAATAATCATTTAGCTGCAATGTAGTATCCGAGAGAGAAGCAAAAGGAATGAAACAGAGAACTCCACTGAGTTTGTGTTGCTTTCCGCTGGCTGTGTTCAGGTTTTCCCATTCTTTGTTTCGCTTATTTCCTTCTACCTAACCTGATTGCAGTTTCTCCACCTAACTACTATTTCCACCACCCTACTAATATTTCCACCACCCTAACACTATTTCCACCACCCTACTACCATTTCCACCACCCTACTACCATTTCCACCACCCTGCCTCTATTTTTGCCACCCTATTACCCTTTCCACCACCCTACTACCATTTCCACCACTCTACTACCAGTTCCACCACCCTACTCCCATTCCCACCAATGGCATGGTGATTAGAATTAAAACCTGTAATTTGTGAGATGTGACCGTGAGAACTTACTGGACGCCACCTTTCAGTAATTCATCCATCGTCAACATGGGCAGGACATGTTTGATTTGATCCGTCTTCTCTTTTTGATCTGTATGGGAAATTTGATTCATAGTCAAAGTTTAGTTGATGTTGATATGTGTTTCATTGAAAGTTTATGCTATGCCATTTTATAAACATGTCGAGAAATGGATGTTTAAGAACCAATTCATGTTTTATCTAAGTGCTTTCCAGACTGTCCATGTTGGTTTCAAACACACTTTTAGACGTGCATTATTTTGACACACAGAAAGCCGATCATACAAGTACAACTAAGATTAAAACCAACCCATTTCAATACATACGGACACAAAGATAAAGTGTAATTACGGGATGCATTGCGACACAAAATACCACACGAAATCGTTTCATTCATATTTTGATGCAAAATAAGTAAAATGCTAATCCGAAAGCTAAATCAACTTCTTGGTTCATCATTGCCGCAGATTCTAGCCAGTTGATATTTCGGTCAATTTGTCTTCTTCCGAAGTGAAGAGTTCATCGCTCAGTTCAAAGAAAGGAATTCCTCATCAAATCAAAGACTTGGATTATAGCTTTGGGAAGTAGACTTTCTCTTGGATCACTATCAGAAGGTCATCTATTGGTGAGCTTTTATCGCATTAATTCGCACTCTACTGCTTTGGAATATTTTTTCTAAATTTTCTTCGATCAATTACCATTTCCAAAAAAAAAAAAAAACCATTCTTGTCTCCCAATTCTACATCAAAAGTTTTTCAGTTGGATTACATATTAAGGATCATAATGCTAATTTTAATTTGAACCAAGAAATTTAAATGTATAATATCATCCTTTTAAGTTGTAGAACCAAGAAAATTCTGTGTGTAATGTCGTCCTTTTTATATTAAAAAAAATCATATTAGAGGACACAGGATCAATTTATTGATCATTTTGGCTCCTGGTTTGAATTCAGAGTTAGCCTTCTCTTAGATGAGTTGCCTTCTAAGGCTAACGAGTCCCATCTACCCGGGGTGCTTGGGATGTTTACTTTTTGTGGGGATTGTACTCCAGACCGCCAGCTATTTGTAGTGAGTCAGTTCAGACCACTCGGCCACCCAGTTGTAGTATTATCATTTCAAGTTGTAACATCAGGATTATAAGTTGCATTATCAACATGTTTTGATCATATTACTTCACAAATATTACCAAAATACACTTGACTTAAGAGGTCTGCTTCTAATACCATTTACCATGTGGCCATTTTGGGCAAGATGTTTCTTAGTTCTATTCAAGCGTTTTTATAAATAACGAAAAGAATTTTTTTATTTCGGTATGGCTTATTTTTGCGCGACACACCTTTGCCTTTCAGGTGACTCACTGCTGTAATTTTTTTAATCTAGAAAAGAATCTGGGCATTACACTGTCAATTTTATAAGACAAAGATCTCAGACCTTGCACAAGCAGCCTCTAACAAAGATCCTGCACAAGTTTCCCCTAACAAAGTTCTTGCACAAGCTTCCCCTGACATAGTTCTTGCACAAGCATCCCCTGAAATAGATCTTGCACAAGCACCCCCTAACAAAGATCTTGCACAGCATCCCCTGACAAAGATATTCAACAACCATCACTTGACATAGATCCAAAAGTGACCTCCTGATTGAAAAGGCCATAAATCAACCTACTTCGATTTAGATTAAGGTATTTTTTCAGGGTCACTTCGATGAACACCCAATCTAACCAGTAAGGGTCACTTTGAAAAAAATACCCAGTCAATCTATGGGCGCTAACCCTTAATGGTCACTTTGACAAACGCCCAATCTACGGGCTCTAAACTTTAGGGTCACTTTGATAAACACTCAGTTAATCTACCAGCTCTATCCTTTTCAACCAGTGACGTGCAGGGTGGTGGTGGTGCAGGGGGAGAACAAAAGTGTTACGCACTGACTTGTATTGGGAGAAATTAATCTCCTATTTTAATTTTAATTGGCTCGCTGTAAATAGTGCCTAACAAAGGATGATACCATAGAATCAATAATATCAACAGTTTCTAGTTATAATTAATTAAGATTTATTATGTCTTAAGATAATTACAAAAGAGAAGAAAAATATAATTACAATCTTCAACTTACAGTATGGTAGATCTTGTACCGGTACACAGTTAACACAGTTAGAATAATGTGCCAGTAAATAATTCGAAATAAACACATATGAGCTCACAAATACACAAAGAATAAAACACGCCTCGTAATGTTAAGAAAATTTATCTGAAAATCTCCCTCTCTCGTCCGTGCCTGTCAATCCCTTATATAGGTGGGTCTACCGACGCCTAAGCCCTGCCTTCTACAAGCTACATGACATTTCTAGAAAAATCCCATTTATTCTACAAAACACTACTTGGAACAGATTAATTATTTTTAGTAGCTGGCGGTGTAAACAAGAATACATCAAAAGCCTAAGACACACCCCTTTGTGAACACAGCGTCTCATGCGGGGTCAATCAGAGGGCACGCACGAGAAATATTATGTAAACAAGCTCTCTATAACAAAAAGATTTCTATGTACAAAGTAAGACAGGTCACTGTTAAAAGGAGAACGAGTGGTCAACAATTAGATCTCATTCTCGCCACAGCGTCCACGAAGTCAACGATTTCATTCCCAATTTTACATTAAATAATTAAGATGTAGAATCAGCCAATATACAACTTTTGAATGAAACATGAATTAGACATTATACCATCGTTAACATTAGAAGAAATAGAGGGGAAGAAACAGGAGAACACTGTTGAATAGATTATATATCATGAACATGAACTAAGCATATATTAAATAAGAACAGATGACGTCATGGCGATGCATACCTTTTATAATTTTAATCACGGTCCCTGTAACCACTTGAGTAGCTTCCAAATGGTCTACAAAATGCTTTAAACGTATGTCAGTCCAGTTACCAGTATCCTCTGGTGCCTGATCTTCTGCCATCTTAAAAGATAAAAAGTGCTTTTAAAATAATTGTTTCAAGATGTTTAAACCAAACTAGTTTTTTTTTGCTGTGGCGACAATGCCTTGCTTCTTGTGAACATGTCTTGGTTTGTCACAGAACCAAATGATGACGCACGCTGTGTTAAAAAAAAAATGAAAAAGTAATTGAATGAGATTTCAAGAATTAATTGAAATTTTTTTGATAGGTTTCTATGAGCCGTAGAGATATAACGAGTTGTGCCCAAAAAGGGGGGGGGGGTACCAATGAGATTACGGCGCGCACGGCATAAGAACTAAAATTGAGCCCTTATTTAGCTTTAGTAACATATTTTTATCTGATAAGGATTTTGAACGAACCTTGAAATAAAGTTAAATTCTATGAGCCGTAGAGATATAACGAGTTGTGCCCAAAAAGGGGGGGGGGGGTACCAATGAGATTACGGCGCGCACGGCATAAGAACTAAAATTGAGCCCTTATTTAGCTTTAGTAACATATTTTTATCTGATAAGGATTTTGAACGAACATTGAAATAAAGTTAAACATAATAGACCCTCAAGAAGTTTATTTCTTGTTTAATTAAATACTTTTTTCCCTCACAGAAATAAAAAAAATTACTATTGTTAGAGAACTATATCTTTATACAGCATATATAAACAGTTCAATTTGACATTTGTTGTCTTCGTTGAAAAGAATGGCCACGTGATAATATCACTCAGCTGTTTCAGTTAAATGAATTATCAAACTCATTTTATTTTTTATTTTTCGTTCATTAATTTTTAAGAAAGAGCGGGATGCAGAATTTAAGCTGAGTCAAAAAAAAGTAAACTATTATAATTTCTTTTATTAAAAACAATCGTTTTCATGTACATGTGAATGCCTTTGATTGTGTCATGAATTAGCTCAAGTTCTTGCTTGGAAGAAAATTCAAAGGGAAAATTTATAGTTATAGAAAGGATAGTGAAAGAAAGACAAGGAAGTACTCAGTTGAATTTATTAAATTACTAGCCTAAATACCCGGCGTTGCACGGGATTGCATTAGGACCCATCCTTGTGTGACCCCGATCCCATTTAAAGCCTAATCCCATTCTGACACCGATCCCGGCGCAGTCCCGTTTCCCGGTTTATCCCGATCCTGGGGGATCCATTCAAGGTGGGGATCCCAATCCAAGTGGGATCCCGTTTTCTGGTGGGATCCTGATCCCTTTGTGATAATGACTATGATGGGATCCCGACCCTTTGGGATCCCGTATTAACAAAATTAATCAGTGTTACTGAGAGGACAGGAAACTCCGGGACAGTAAAGAAATGAATAGAACTAACTAAAATTTCACTATCCCTTAGATCCCACTACATATCCCAGAGAAACTATTTAGAAATTTCTGGAACATTCTAGATTAAATGTAATAACCTGCTCGAGACATGTGTAAAACTACTTTTCTAATTATTTTTTGAATACGCTAAAAATCTTCAACAAATACCATATTTATAATCCTTTTTCTTTTAAGTTATTCGTGTTTGAGTTAATCATGGGGGCCCGGGGGGCCATTCCATAACTATACCGATTTAGCTTTGCCTGAGATAGGGGGCCCTATAAATATCAGATGGATAAATAATAGAGTTAAAATTTGTCCCATTAAAATCTAATTAAAAAAGACATAGATATAGCTTTTTAAAATTATCGAACTTTCTGGAAAATTCTAGGTTGGATATGATTAATTTTAAATCCATCGATATTTCAATACGGACTAAGAAGCCTGATGAACAAAGCTAGGGTTAGATCCATACATTCAAATATAACCTATACCGTTGCTAACCCTATTGATATTCATATAGCTTAAATAAGGAAAAATGAACTGGGGCCCCTCGGCCCCTGAGAAATGGATATTATGAGTTCAGTACCCTTCGGTATTTGAATATGGATAATAAAGTATATGTGTACTAAGTATGGTCAAGATCCATCTATTCATGTAGGAGTAATTGTTGGTCATTGTATTTATATAAAGAATTAAAAAAAACTAATTCGGGGCCCCCGGCCCAAAACGAAATGTTATAACAAGTTCATGACTCTTTAAGAGTTCGTTCCGGATAATTATGGATATATGAGCCAAGTTTGGTTAAGATCAATCAATCCATGTAAAAACGTATGTGGAACAAAGCAAGCCAGCCACAAACAAACTTTCACTTTATATATATATACATATACTAGCTAATATACCCGGCGTGGCCCGGCATTTCATTAGGGCCTTATCCTGGTGGGACCCCAATCCCATGCTGACACCGATCCCGACGCAGTCCCATGTCCCGGTGTGATCCCGATTCCGGTGGAAGGTTGGGATCCTGATCCCGGTGGGATCCTGTTTTTCGGTGGGATCATTCTCTAATTGGGATAAAGATTATGATGGGTTCCAGACCACTTTGGTTTTCATCCCGAATTTTTAAAAAATGATCAGTGGTGCTGAGAGAACAGTAAACTACGGGACAGTATAGAAATGAATAGAACTAACTAACACTTCAATATTCCCTTAGATCCCACTATATATCACCTTGTATCAATTTAGAGCTTTCTGGAATATTCTATAATAAATTTAATAACCTGCTGAAAACATGTGTAAAAATTACTTTTCTAATTATTTTTAATACGATAAAAATCTTCAACAAATACTATAATTTTAATCCTTTTTCTTTTAAGTTAATTAAGGGGCCCCTGGGAGCCCATTCCATAACTTTACCGATTTAGTTATGCCTTAGATAGGGGGCCCTATAATTATCAGACGGATAAATAATAGAGTTAAAATTTAAAATTGGTCCCATTAAAATCTACTAAAAATCACCATAGATATAGTCTAGCTTTGTAAAATTATCGAACTTTCTGGAAAATTCTAAAATGGATACTATTAGTTTAAAATCCATCGATATTTCAATACGGACATTGAAAGATATTGCTACATTGCTAGGCCTGTATCCATCAATTCACATAGAAACTATAGTGTTGTCTAAGCCTATTGATATTTATATAGCTTATATTAGGAAAAATTAACTGGGCCCCCGGCCCCAGAGAAATGGATACTATGAGTTCAGTACCCTTCGGTATTTGAATATGGATAATACAGAATATGTGTACTAAATTTGGTCAAGATCAATCTATTCATGTAGGAGTATTTCTTTCTAATTATTTTTATATAGCTCATATTAGGAAAAAAGAATTGGGGCCCCCGGCCCCAAACGTAATGTTATAAAAAGTTCATAACACTTAACATTTTCTCTGGATCATGATGGATATATGTGCCAAGTTTGGTCAAGATCCATCAATCCATGTAAAAGCCTTTGTGGAACAAACCCACGAACCCACAAAATTTCACTTTTATAGACGTATTTGATATGATTTGCCTTAGAGGGCAATGCATTGTCAGCTTTTAAAGCCCTAATTATAATGAGTAAATTGTTTAAAGTTCGCTCACTTGAATTTCAATTGTGTCGAATTTATAAATTATGTTTGACTTAAATAAATGTGTGTGACGTAGATAAATTCGGGACTTCAATAAATGTGTGTGACCTAGGTAAATTTGGGACATAAATAAATGTGTCTTATTGAAATAAATGTTTGTGACTTAAATAAATTTATGTTATTAAAATACATTTATGACTTAAATAAATTTGTGTGGCTGAAATAAATTTGTGTGACGGCAATGTTTCTGGTAATATCAATATCCCCCACCACATTATTCATTTAGATACTAATTATTTATGAAAAAAAATAGAAGCGGTTATTCATATTCGATTGGCGTATTGAAAGTACTACGATGAAGAACTTACCTCTTAACTGGTTGACTCAAAGTTTCGTTGAAGTGTCAGCACCCAGCCTTGCTTTATAGGTGTTCGTGTCACTTGGTGAATTGTGTTTGGAACTCGACGTAGTAGATCATTATCCGTGTCGTGCAAGCTAACAGTTTCAGCTTGGTATCGATTTGTATTAATCAATCAATAAATTGAAGAGGTCATGAATGGATACGTTCATGAATTAAATAAGCTTCCTTGAAGTTAACTAAATGGTCTTCTTTGAACAAAACAAGCGTGATCGGGTTTCTTGAGTTCCCCTAGCTGTTAACGTAACTATGAAATACGTTCTTACAAAACCAAAACTGTACAAAATATTACCATTTAATATGACACAAGATTTGACACTACTTTTACATGTTTTATATATCTAATAGTTTATTTATTTTTGCAAAAAATTGAAGAAAAAAATTTGAAAAATAATTTTAATTACCAGAAAATACAAATCTACATATTAGCAAGAGTGCCACCGTGGAAAGAGTCGAGAAAATCAGACAATAAAATGGTCAGTTGGGCTTTTTGAAATGGTCGCATATTTGAAAAACAAAATGACATGTCCTTGACCTTAGGTGGGCAATTAAAATGTCTATTGAGTACCATAGTGACTGGAGTTTTTCCGAAGGTTGTTTGGTGTCACTAGAGGTGTCATTAGATGTGCAGTGCTTCGGGGGCAGCTTTAGGGGCCCCGCGCGTAGCCCTTAAAATAACTTGTATTAATAATTTAGCCATGCCGTGACTATTCACAGATCGTAATTTTCAGTCAACACACTGTTCGGGGTTGAAAGATAATAAAATTATCAGACTGCGCTTTCCCGGGAATGTCCCTGTATTTTCCCCGTAATATTACTGTCATTTCCTGTTCCATCCTTCTGTTCAAGTTCAATCATGTGAAGGCCCTGGACGAAATAGTGCGCTGCTGGTCTTGCAAAATACGAACTAGGGATTTTGGATGTTTGCTTGCCACGGTCACATGGTGTATGATCGGAGCCGAGTAGAGGCCGAGGCAACAGAATAAATCATCCAGGGCTCTGCCTGTATGGGGCCACCTAATAATTATTTAAAAAACAAAAACAAATTTATCCTGCCAACTTTGGAGCCAGCCCATACACTCGAATGAATTAGCGGTGGAAATAGATTCTGAAAGTGATCTACGTGCAATTTTTGGAAGTGTGATATCTGAATTTTGTATTTATTTGTTTTTTTTAATTCCAGTGACTGTTACAACAGCAGAGAGATCAGTTACCAGATTTTTTAATTTTTTTTTTGATATCATCGACGTGTTTGCAACACAAAAAGAAGGGAGGGGCAAGACACTTGTCTTTTTGTAATTGTTTTAATAACATATTTCGTCTAAAATACCTTCAGATGTAGTCTCTTTAAGCTGAATCAGCTTTGTGTTTTCGGATTTTGTTTTTGACAACCATGAGATTAGTAAAAACCATGAGATTATTAAAAGCCATGAGATTAGTAACAACCATGAGATTAGTAAAAACCATGAGATTAGTAACAATCATGAGATTAGTAACAACCATGAGATTAATTACAGTCCTGAGATTAGTAACAACCATGAGATTACTAACAAACATGAGATAAATAAAAACCATGAGATTAGTAACAAACGTGAGATTAGTAACAAATTTGAGATAAGTATCAACAATGAAATTAGTAACAACCATGAGATTAATAACAGCCCGAAGATTAGTAACAAATGAGATTAGTAGCAACCACTACATTAGTAACAGACATGAAATTAGTAAAAACCATGAGATTAGTAACAAATATGAGCATAGTAACAACTATGAGATTAGTAACAACCATGACATTAGTAACACGTATGAGATTAGTAACAAAAATTAGATTATTAAAAACTTCGAGATTAGTAACAATGAATAATTAGTAACAACCGTGATATTAGTAACAACTATGAGATTAGTAACAACCGTGATATTAGTAACAAGTATGAGATTAGTAACAACCATGACATTAGTAACAAGTATGATATTAGTAACAACCATGAGATTAGTAACAAGTATGAGATTAGCAGCAACCATGAGATTATTAACAAAAATTAGATTAGTAAAAACTTCGAGATTAGTAACAATGAATAATTCGGCTCATGGTTACAGCAATTTGTTTTATAAGTTTCGAAGTTATGCGAGTGAACGAACACTGGAATGAGTCATATGACGTGTCCCATTATGACAACCAAGAGCTAGTAATGACTATGTCATGTTTAAATATCCTATCCACCAGGGTGGTTCAGTAGTTTGTCCAGGGCTCCACCATCTCCTAGCACCGACACAGAGTACTTTTTGAGGTCACCCACGTAGATCCACCACACCTAAGCACAAGCATGGCTTCAAATCTTTAAATATTAGTCTACTAGTCTAATTTTCTTTATACTATAAAATATATTTTCAAATTTTAGTAAGCCAGGGTATCTGAAATTTATATTCAACTGAAATAAATTAAAGAAGTCCTGAAATCGTAGTTTCAAAACTGTTATTGATTCATCGTTGTTTATAGTGGTTTAACATATTGTGAAAATTTTAAAAATAATTATGGCGATTATTTTAATACTTTATGTCATATCATAGACTCCGAAAGATAAGCATACCTATTAATGAATTAGGTTTGTACTGGGAACGTACTCCAGACATGCATTAAGCTATTATATATTGAATGTCTTGCAAGAGTTGTAATTTCAGATATCATTGCAAAAAAATCACCAACAACTCATAAATGAATGTTTGTAAGGAACGATGTCAATGCTGTAGATGACCCGTTCAATATTTCAGAGATACTTATGTTACATCTTCTTTTGCGGACTGAGTCTAGACTCCGATAACCCGGGCCAATTAATTGGCGACGTGTTTCATTAGGGGGAATCACTGTAAATCAATTTTCTCAAAACTGGTATCTGCATCCAGACCCTCTGGCCCTCCCCCTTCCATTGCCGGGGCAGTCGACCACCTTGTCGTCCACCGTTTCGTCGGCCTAGCCAAATAATTGTCAGATTGGATCCCTTCTGGTATCTAATCGGGGGAGATAACAGCGATTCGCGTAGTGGCCTGTTCTCATCTAGGTGATGAACCTCTGTTCTTGTCTCCTCAGTTTCCACCACGGACCGCTTTTGCTATGTCGTGTTTTTCTCCGGCAGAGCTGTCGTACTGTATTTCCTGCAGCCTAGCTGTTAAGCTACTCCTCTCGGAAGTGGTCTTTCAGCCAAGCTTTAATCTCCAGCTGGATCACTGGCTTATCAGGTTGCGCCTGGACCTGTCGTTCTGCTTCTCCTCAACGTGCCCGAGGATGAACTGAAAACAGACTTTGGCATAGATGTCTCCTACTGTCACTAGAATGGCGTTGACCATTGGAGTCTCCGTCGAGCCCCTTCCCACACTCTCGAGAGCAAAGCGTGAGTCGGTGAAGGCTACAATGTCGTTGAAGACTGCAATCTCGGTGAAGACTACAATGTCGGTGAAGACTACAATGTCGGTGAAGACTACAATGTCGGTGAAGACTACAATGTCGGTGAAGACTACAATGTCGGTGAAGACTACAATGTCGGTGAAGACTACAATGTCGGTGAAGACTACAATTTCGGTGAAGACTACAATGTCGGTGACGTTTTTCCTTCTTGCGAGACGTTGGTGCACCCTCTTAAGGGCGACCAGCATTGCATCTAGTTCTGCGTCAAAGCTAGTTCTGTTCTTTCCAACGGGGCACTGATGATTACTCGGGTGTAGCTATAATCTTGTTTGGGTATTGGATAAGTGCCACTTAGCCACTATGATTTTCCCTGGCAAAGTACGAGCCGCCTTTGAAGACATTGACCCTACAGTTCTGGTAGGCGTCACTCGTTTTTAGCGCTTCTTCCCTTAGTTTAGAGACGCTTGAATATTTTGTTTATACATGAATGTTGAGCTTAAAGTAAATTATTGAACTTCATTAATAAAAATTGAATTCCATTCATTCATCATTATTGAATGCATTCGTGAATATGCAATTCACACGTGAATATTGAATTCACACGTGTATTTTAATTTCATAGTTAAAATATTTTTTGAACATTATAATCTAAATTTGAAATTGAACAATTTTTTATTGATATTTGAAATATTGACCTAATACATGAATTTGACTTTATACATAAATATTGAATTCATGCTTGAATAATAAATTAATACCTTAACTTTTTAATTAGTACGTGAGTTAATATTTCAATATTCACACTCAAACTATCACAAAGATCTTAAGTGGCACCTTCATTCCCATGTGCCTTCAATGGTAGCTGTATTGAATAACGAACTAAAAACCTTATGCTACAATTCATACAACTTTGCCTATGTTGATTTATCATCTTTTGACTTATTGACCGCGTTTTATTTTTTTACATAACATATGTACCAATGCTACATTTATGAAATATATTCTAAAACCTTTCAAAGTCTGTGAAACATTTCAAGCCCTAAGAAATTTTAATTTTTAAAAAAGCGAAAAAAAAACGTTCAAATTATAATTGAGAATAATGCAAGTTCCAGATTATTTTTGATTTCCTAGGGAAAAAAATGATTGTTAATAAAAGAATCTCAGCTAAAACTCTTTGATCCCTCTCATCTGTCTTTTTAAATGTCATAGTATTATGTAGTACTGAGTTGAAGCATTCTATTCACGTATTTACGGGGAATTGATTTTACCTGAGCTGTCGACACATTCGTAACCCAAACGAACTGTGAAATGCTCAGTGCACCTTTTGATAAATAATAAATCATACATATATTTCACGGTCTGTCAGTCAAAGACGGGTCTATGGCCATTGAATTTTTCTCTGACGCAAACCCGGACATGATTGCTTACAATTGGTATCGATACTACGTAGCTACACTCTTGTTCCTGGTCGACAGATCCAGTGCTGTTGGTGGAGTTACTTGGCATACGTTAAAAGTTATAGAACATGTTATGGGTATCATATAAAGGGTTACCGAATAAAGTAGGATAGGTCGCATAGGTTATACATAAACATACGTCGTGAGACAAGGCCTTGTAATAGTGAGTAGGATAGGTCGCATAGGTTAGACATAAACATCTGTGGTGAGACAAGGCCTATTAATTTTAAGTAGGATCGGTCGCATCGCTATATATATAAACATATGTAGTGAGAAAAGATTTAATCATGAATACCAATAAAGAAAAACGAAGATGATTGCTTTAAAATTTATTTGTACAAAATAGAGGAGATAACATATTTTCATACATTTTAAAAATTAATAGAAAAATAAAAGGTATCATTATCCCTGGGTATAGATTTTTTGCTGCAAACTTTTGATAAATAATTATATTCCTGAAATTTTCTAAAATACATCTGAGGGAAAAATGTAATCGTACAGGCAATCACATGCATATATGAACACGCAAACACAAACCAAATTAAATAGGCCAAATCATGCATAATATATCATTGTTGTTATGTGAACAGGCAAACACAAGCATTTTTAAACTTACAAAATCATGTAAATATCATTTATGATGTATGAACCAACACATGCATTTATAAACTGAAAAAATGATGTAAATGTCATTAATAATACATGGAAAGGCAAACTCATACATTTTCTTAAAGTCAAGGCACTGATATCGCTTACTATTTTACTTTGAAATGTATGTATATGTTTTAACTCTGAAGATTTGTCGTTACAAATTGCGTATACAGATTTGTATCTTTTAAGAATTTAATCTCATGATAAAATATTAATTTATCTGTCCATGGTCCACTATTGAAATTTAAAAAAAAAAACCAATACAAATCTGGTCATGTGCATTCCCGATTAAGTCAAAAGAAATGATGCATTTCAAACCGGATATTTCAGGTATTTTTTTAACAAGTATGCCACAAGTCAGAACTGTAGCAACAAAGCATAAACACCTCATTACATATTAAAAAAATCATTAAAAAATTAATTAGCTAGAAAATATAAAAATAAACGTAATACTATTACACTCATTGAAATGCATCGTATGTTGTTACCGCTGAAGACGAAATGAACATTTAACAAGTCACAAAGCTGTTCACATTGCTGTTCAATCGCTACGTTCTGACCATTGAGGTAGTGTGTGTGGGGGAGGCGTTGACCAAAGCAATGAGAAAAAACAAGTTTTGATTAAATGGTGGTCACATTATTTGAAATATTAAAGTAGGTCTGCGTTCAACAAGAACTTTGCTTATTTGACGAACATAATACTGTATGAATAGATTCCACGAACATTGAGAAACTGGAGCTTCATCTTTTTAGATCCTCAATTTTATCATTTTATGAATACGTTAACATTTGAGGAAGAGGAAATGATGCGAATATATCTTAATTCCTAAAGCTGATCAGAATCATAAGATCAATTTATGTTACCTATCTCTGTTCAAATATTCGTGCTTATATCAAATATTTCGCCTGGTCTCAGGTTGACGAGCTGAAGTTCTCAGGGTTGTAGCGCACATGGCTAATTTTCTCAATCGCTTTAAGTCGAAAAAAAAAAATAACACCAAAAAATTAAATAACTGTGAAATATAGGATTGAATAGATTATAATCAAGGGGCTTGGTAAGAGTCTGAATTATTATAATTATTATTTTGAATGTCTTTTCATGACTAGGACTACGCGTCAGATGGAGCTAAGGGCCATAACAAATGATGGTTCAAAATGGGGGAGTTTCAATACTGATATTGTTGTCGCATCCTGAAATCAGGTTTGATTAAAACAGTTTATGAATGTTTGTTGTGTAACACAATTACTGCTTGTGGGTATTCTCGTATGTAGTTTTTATAATGTTGCGCTTTGTATTTCAATGTGGTATAATTTAGATTTTTTTTCCATTTCTCTTTTAATATGGTTGCCTTTGTAACGCGCTTCGAGCACTTTGCGGATTAAGCGAGATTTTAAAATAAACTTTATTACTATTATTGTTATTATTACTGTTCAAATTTATAGCATTTACTTTGACATTTACTGCAGTCAAACATGTCAACCTTGTTCAAAAACGGCCAGAAATATAATTTGGGTCTAGGAACACAGCGGGCCTCATATTTCACCGGATCCAAACACACATCAATATTTTCCCATTCGGTAACACATATCTGAGAAGTCAGTTCTTCAAACGTCAACATCCGCTGTATCCGTGGTGGGAGTGGAAGCTGACGAATTCTGCCTCTTCTCCCTGGGCTTGGTCCAACGGCCGTCGAGATGGATATGAGTGCCAGTTTGGAGAGCGGCCACGGCTGGGAGTACAGGCCATCCAACAAACACTTGGCCTTGTGAGAAATATGGCCCCTGGCGACAGGATTGGACCACTGTATAGTGTCACAGGTCAAGAGGTAATTGTTGATAAGAAGATATTTTGCGACGTCAATTTTATCTTTTTGTAGCGCCATCATGAAAGGTGTTTCTGTTTTATTTTCAGCGTCTGAGCATTTTGGAAAAGCTCCACTTGAAACAATAATTTGGATGATTTTGGGATCGCGTCCACCGAGAATAGAACGGAAATTACTTTTAGATATAACTGATTGATCAGGATCTCCGCCATGTTCTCGCATGTCCTCCACAGTTCGTATGTTAGAGTAATATTCTGTGGCTGCATAAATTAATGGCGTCGTGCCCAGATTGTCAGGTAAATTGACATCAGCTTTACAATGTAAAAGTTTGACTATCGTTTCCTTAAATAGAGCATACCTTAGTGCAGTCTTCCCATAATGGTCTCGGGCATTTACATCTGAATTTTTCTTCAACAATAAATCAAAAGTACGTATGCCACAGAAAGAGCTCGCAGCCTTCATGAGAGCAGTTTGCCCATTGAGTGTGGTTCGGCTTACATCGGCGCCAGCTGCCAACAGGTGTCGAATGCAGCCCTTTCGTTCAACACCATTCATGAGAGGCGTCGCGCCTTCGTTGTCCGCACTATCGACTTCAGCTCCAAGCTCCAGAAGTAATTTCACGCATGCCACACGGCCATTCCTTGCTGCCAAGTTGAGAAGCGTGTTCCCGTCTCTATCAATGATTTCTGTTTGGAGAGTTTCTCTAGGCATGATTGCCAAACATTTGCTGTGCCCATGAGCTGCCGCGTACATCAGAGCAGTTTTTCCTTTGTTGCATTGTGCGTTTAAATTGGCATCGTTCTCTAATAGTTTACCCGCCAAGAACGTCCTGTTCTTCATCATACTCATCATTAATGGGGTTATACCATTAGGGTCAGGTAAATTTATGTCATGGCCATGCAGAAGTAGAGCGTAGACACAGTGAGAATGACCTCGTCTAATGGCACAGGTGAGAGGATTGTTCATCTCTTCGCTTTTTCTAGCTCGTTTCCTCCTCGTATCAACAACAGCGTCAATACAGTTGGCGCAACCCGTAAAAGAATCGTCTGCTATATCAGGGTGTTTGTTATTTTGTTCAATGTCCCATTTTGCCCCAGCGTTTATTAGAATTTCAATACATTCTGATTTGTTTTGAACCAAAGCAGTAAATAAAGGTGAGTAACCATCATTGTTTTTTAGCTCAATATCTGCATTGTTTTCAATTAAATATTTTGTAACCCTAACATGACCTCGACTTGCCGCCATAAAGAGCGCCGTCCGTCCATTTTGACATTGTTTATTAACATTTGCCCCAGACACAAGTAAACATTTCAAGGCAGTAAATTGATCATTGCTGGTGGCTACCATGAGTGACGTCATGCCATCGTGGTCAACTTGGTCTATATCACTACCAGCCTGCAACAGAACATACATACAATAAAGATGGTTCTTTCGTGTGGCCGTTACCAGCAACGGAACGTAATGATCACAGGGACGTTCAAAGTCTCCGACACACTCACTGCAAACTGATAATGTGGAGCTCGTGACATCATGCTGACTTCTTATAGTTCGTATATTCCACACTGATCCAGCTTCAATGATGATTCGGGCGCATTCCTCTCTGTTGTGTAAATGAGCTAACATGAGAGGAGTTTCATTTTTCTTATTGACAGTTCCTATCACTGACTGGCAACTATTTATAATCAATTTCAGACACTCTGTGGACCCATGAATTACTGCATGATGTAATGCTGTGTTTCCTTTTGAGTCTGATAACAAATTCCAGCAAATATGTTTAAGCAATAGTTTTGTACTTTCGACTTTCCCAGAGCAAACGGCCAGCATAATTGGTGTAGCTTCGTCTTTGTTTCTTGCATTTACATTAGAACCGGCTGTAATAAGTGCTTGAGTTACGTCTGCCGTGTCAGCACCATCGTGTACGGTGAACGTTTGTGACGTCATATCAAAGTCATACGTTTTCAACAACTGTAATTTCATACCCGAGGTCATGCAGGTCATGTGAAGCACAGAGTTACCATTGGCGTGGCTCTGCTTAACATCCGCACTGGCATCAAGAAGACGCTTAACACATTCTGTACGACCATTTAACACAGCCAAGCTCAGGGCTGAGTCTTGATTAGCGTTCTGTACGTTGACGTCGGCGCCCGATAAAATTAATGCATTGAGACAGTGATTATGTCCCTTTGACGCAGCATACATCAATGGAGTGCTTCCTTTTATATCTTTAGCATCAACGCACGGGTTGCTGCTTAGAATAAGCTCTGTACAAATGACATTTCCTTTACGTGAATTTATGTGTAGCGCCGTTTGACCCATTAAAGATGTTGCATTTACAGAAGCCCCGTGTTTGATTAAAACGTGCAGACAATCTACATTTTCCTTTAGTGCAGCTATCATGATTGGTGTGTTACCTTCATTGTTTCTAGCATTGACATCAGCATTACGTTGCACCAGCTTTTCAACGCACCCTATTCTACCGCATGAGGCGGCTAGACAAATCGCTGTGTTACCAATGTTGTCTCTGGCATTGATGTCAGCTCCCACATCCAGTAGAGTATTTGCGACCTGGGCGTGTCCATTTTTGGCAGCCTTCATCAGAGGCGTCTCATGTCTGCTGTCAACTGCGTTGACGTCAGCCCCATGTCTTATGAGAGGGAGAACACAGTCGAGATTACCCCGGCTGCAAGCCCTTATCAAGGGAGTTTTCCCATACTTGTTTTTAACATTTGCTGCTGCACCGATCTCCAGTAAATATTGAACACATTCCGGATGTCCGTGGCGTGAAGCGTACAGCAAAGCTGTAGAGCCATTCGCATCAGTGACGTCAACGTGTGCCCCGGCTGACACAAGAACACGGACACATTCGAGATGATCGTGTTGTGCCCCGTACAAAAGGGGCATACATTGTCGGCAGACGGGATCGGTGTCTGCTTGTCTATTCATTGTTGCACTAGTTAAGATACACCTTAGGATTTGCGTCTTGTTTTCAATGTATCTTACTGCTAGGCTAATGTGCTTAAATGGTCTTAATTTCAAACATTTAGCTTCGATTTGTACTTGAATGGTCAAATGTTTCCCAGGACATATTCCAAAAATCCATATGTAGATGTTTATTCATCAGTTATATACCTGACTTTCTATGTCAAGCTTTCACATACCTTGTTCTTGCATTTCCTTCACACAGCTAGAACGCTGTCCTTCATTTATAGCTGCGGAATGATACAATCATAATATGAAAGAATGAAATAGATATGATTTTTTTTCCCATGGAAATACATTCTCGGTTAGTTAGGTATACAATTATCATCCGTTTTGTTACTTTAAATTGCTTTTAACTATCCAAAATAATCATGTTCATATTTTATCTTAAGAATGCAGCTGTATCCCCATGCCTATATTGCCAACACTATTTACTTTATTTAATAAGACAGTCTGATTTTATCTTTAATACTTTTTTTATAGATCTGACGTATTAACTTTAAAATACAAACGTTTCCTTGTTATTTTTCTTTTTTCGGAAAGTTGGTAGTGGGAATTTCCATTCTGACATTTCAAGGAATTTGCGCCCCCCAAATATTATTGTCTAACTTTTTTGTTGTATTGGATCGTCGCTAACTGACGACACTGAAGGCGCGGTTTTAATCGTAAAACTTTGGCCGATGAGAAAGTATTATTAATATCAATAGCACTGTATTTGGCTAAGTGTGTCTTAATGTAAACTATAGTGGTCAAATACATATTGATCTTGTTTTCAAAATCCAAATGATGTTTAAAAAATAAAAAAGCGTAATTGTAGATAAACCTTGGCCGATGAGAAAAATGTATTAATATCATTAGCTCCACTATTAGAAATAAGTGTATTTATAAATGAAATCATGCCTGATTAATAGGATTAGCACTACTCTTAAAGAAATACGAGTATAGATGAAAACATCAGCCAGACTAAAAGAATAATAATGACCAAAGAGGCATTCCAGTAGTGCATGAGAAACTTCTATGTTTGCTGAAACTTTAAAAAAAACCAACTAAGATGTGAACTAGGATTTGTATCTGAACAATGATGTGTATCTGAACTTAGATGTGTATCTGTACTAATATCTGTATCTTAACTCAGAAGTGTATCTGAGCTAAGATGTGTATCTGATTTACGATGTGTATCTGTACTAAGATGTGTATCTGGACTATGATATTGTATCTGCACTCAGATGTGTATTTTGAACCTGGTGGTTCTCATGAATCAATTAGATGTATGCGGGGAAGTCAAGATCAGTTTTGACATTTAAATATTTTCATAGATTGTGTCTAGAATCCTTTTTAAAAAAATCAATAAGTGTGTCTTAAGAGCACCACCAGGGGATGTATTAGAAAGTAATCAATATATTTTTACCATGAAGAATGTAAATGATTTCGTTGATCTCTTTGATTGTTCTAAAAAGTGTTACATTGACTTCAATATCTTTTAATATAAATAACTCAAAATCAAATCTATTTTAATATTGTTTGTCGCCGTGCCTACATAGAGTGTAATTTAAATTTTATATTTACAGTTAGGAATTAGGCCTTGGCTTTTCATTAAAAAAAAATAAAAATTAACTACAAACAAAAATTAGTTTGAAAATTCATCTTTCTGTTCTAATTTCTTTCTTACAATTTCTAATTTCTCACATATGTTTCTGTAGCTCATGCACTGTTGTTTATAAATAAATTAAAGATTTATAACATATCTTACCATGGTCACTTGTATAGTTTAAAGCTCTGTGGATATAAAACTAATTCCTCCTTAAAGAATATTAAAAAACAGGAAATGATTTCTTGTCACGCAAATTTTTGGAATTATACATTTTTTATTTATTTTTTAAAAAAAACGACTTCTGAATTCCCAAACTTAGTTTTCTTCTTCAGGTGTCAATTTATTTTTAGAAAAGGTAATTCCAAATATGAATAGTTACCGGCAGACCTGTTGCATGACGGTTGGATCGACCACATGGGCCTCTTAAATCCCTGCGTTTTGCTTTGTAACAGCAAAAGATGATGCGCTCTCAGTGGCGTATTTAGATTTTGTATTTTTTAACAATTTTATTTTAATTTGGCCGCCTTTCCGTAATTTTTTTTTTAAATGTAGGATAAAAATCGGGTTTATTCACTGGCAAATATGACATACGGCTTAAGTTTAAGGTAGAGAAAAAACAGCATATCCCACCCGGTTTCCCCAGAACGAGCCCTTACATCCGCCCATGTCTTATTCATAAAATATTACACGGCATAGACAAACTTAGAAGGAACTAGGCGGTGTCAATAGCCGTCTTTCAATAGCCGTTACCCATAGGCAGAACAGTTGTGAAGAGAGAAGACGTTTAGATATGAACATTACAGTTGTATGTAGAAATTGCACAAAAACACAACCGTATCAAATGTCAACACAACCGTATCAAATGTCAACACAACCGTAACGAATGCTAAACCAACCAAAGCACATGTCAAAACAGAACATTGCAAAAAAGCCAACTACAACAAAAGTTAACACAGCCATAAGAAATGTCAAGCCAACTTTAACAAACGTCAAACCAGCTACAATAATCAGGTAGTGGCAGATAGAATTCGAAGAAATAGCTCAAACTTGACCAGCTACATAGGTTATATTTGTAACGTTTGTGCTTTTAATTTTTAATTATTTTTTTTCTATGCGTTGTAGAGATATAAACTATCTTGACCTTAGCTTTTTTTTGGATCGATTATGTACGCAAAAATTTCATTAAAAAAATGTTTAAACAAAAAGATAAGTGATCGAATTTTTTTACACAACCTTTAGGGTTGTCCAAGCTACAATTGTAACTTCATGTGTGTTGAATGGAAATAATGCAAACATATTGTTAGGCACCGCTGTAAGATCAGAGAATTTAATCTCTCATCTCATTAAATGGTTTGTTGACAAACAGTACGCAACAAAACACAATACTATAAGCTAAATAAAATAACAAAGAAACGATAACAAAACTTGGACCAATTACAATTTAATAATTTTTTTAAAGTTAATAATGAATTATAAATTCAAAAATAAAATAAAATTGAAGCTATTTACTTACAGTATAATGATTGGCTTGTACCGGTACGATGTTGAAGAAGGTACAAGGTTGAAGAAGTACAATGATGAAAAAGCAACCTGCACACACACATCAATTGCTAGTCAACAACTCTCTGTCTCGTACAGCAAAACTCTGTCGTAAAAGTGCTCCCCCCTCAAAGCTCTCTCTTCCTTTTATAGTCTGTTTTACTGATAATTCTAGAAAGGGCTTACACATTGTTTTCCCTTCCTGAGTTGTCTAGTTTTTTCTACAGAATTTCAATAATACAAGCTATAGATTTGATTTAGTTGTCGACAAGGTCAACAAGACTATTTTATTTAGCCACACCCTCAAATGCAGTTCCGAGTTTGGGGTCATTCACGGGGAAATATGACATAAGCACGCGGTCTGCATAACACTATGGAGAGAAAAAAATAACATAACAATAATAACTTCATGTTGTTGACGGTGCAGAAGTATACGTTTCACCGGGAGTCATGTCAAAGAAAAAAAAATATGGAAAGAGTTTCCATGTGTTTTTAGGTATATGCTCCATGTCATGCGCACTGCGAAATGTAAAAATCAATATAACACGCAGGCCTTTCGATACCCGACGCCATCAATAATCGGAATTCGGTAAAAAACGACAATCATTTGAAACTTTTTTTCAAAACTTAACCTAAATTATGTGCACATAATGATTACAGTGCAGAAAGTATAACTATACTGAGAATTTTCATTCTGAAATAATTCATTATGTTTACGGGACCGAGCTATTGCTCTTTTATGGCCCCGGCAAGCACTTTGCAGGCGTGCTGAAGTTGCTAGGCATCGCCGCAGATCAGGCTGTCTGTACGGATGTCTGAGGTGACTAGCAATCGGCTAGCAAGGAAACTACAGTCTCTGGCACCTGTTCGCAATGATGGCAGCCTTGAGTCCCTAAGAGGAATGTACTCTGTTCAAGGGACTTTGAATAGGACAATGTGATGTTCTCATCATTGATTCCCTTCTCTGTTTCTGGTTGTTGCATTTTCCGGTAAAGTTTACGAGCCGTGTCTCAATCTCAAAAAAATTTTGTGACCCAAAGAGGTCATTTAAACAAGTTTTGACCGCCAATCGGAACATTGGCCGCTATGGTTGATTATCTGGGCAAAGCCTTTCCTTCCTAGAAAGTCGGCTCTCTGGTTTTGGGATAACCCCGCGTGTCCAGGAATTCATTGAAAGGACCACTCCGAATCGATGTGATAGTATTTTTTTTAATAGGTATATTATTGCATTTGCCAGTTTCTTATTTATTAAGCCCCTTCTCACAGCTTCAAGTCCAACTGTGAGTCGTTAAACGTTACCATGGACTTAAGTGGTTTTATTCTTGTTAATTTGCGAGGCACTTGTTTCAGAGCCAAAGGATAACTTCTATTGGTGCATCAATATTTGCGCCATTCTTCCCACTCGGCTATGGCGGAGGTACCACGAGTTCGCCGTACAGCTTCATGCCATCCGTTTAGACGTATAAAACTGTTATGTAGAAGACGTGTTTACGTCACATTTCCCCGTGCCATGAACTCCGTCTGACCCAAAGCTGTAGATCCATTCGCATCTGTGACGTCAACGTGTGCACCGGCTGACACAAGAACTTGGACACATTCGAGATGACCGTGCTGTGCCCGTACATAAGGGGAGTTTCCGACACATTATTTATACTTTGTTGACATCAATCTGGACACCGGACAGCAGAGATCTCAGACAATCAGAATGTCCAGACCTAACAACGTACACCAACGCAGTATTTCCATTCCTGTCTTCTCTGTGTAGCCCGTGATCAGAATATATCATGCATTGTTCGCAGACGTTATTGGTGTCAGCTTGTCTATTCATTGTTGCTCTAGTTAAAATACACATTAAGGATTTGTGTCGTATTTAAAGCAATCTTACTAATAAACTGTTAACAGTGTTAACATTTTCTCGATTTCAAAACATTTAATTTCTTGACTTGTCGAATTTGTCTCAGGATATATTCCAAAAAATCCATCTGTCTATATCTTCTTCTGTTATCGTCCTGTCTTTCTTTGCCAAGTTTTCACTTACCCTGTTCTTCAATTCCTTGCGCAGCTTGAACAATGTCCTCCATTGATAGCTGCCGAAGGTTA